TTTACGGCGGGTTGAGCATGAGTAGATACGAAAGTGGTATCGCCATCTATACTTAGGAAGCAAAATCAAAAATTACATCTAGTAGATATCCACGATGGTTTGCGTCCGCGCTTAGACTTTGATATATTTATATTTATAGTGGATGTCCATGGGATATAGAATACACCTTAAAAAAATTAATTTTAAATATCTGAACGGTACTATTAGCCACAACGGCGAGCACAATGGCGTAATTTTTTAATAATTTGCTATATAATTACTATTATTTATGGACATTTGCATGTCTATAAATTACATTTCATGGATATAAAATAGATATCCACCATGGACTGGACATTCAGTGGATATTGGTATGTTCATTAGATATCCAAAGGATTTGGTGTGCTGTCTGGGCTGGGGTAATATGTGACGAAAAAATATTTCATGAATTATAAATAGAAAATGTGCCTAGGAACTATATGCACGGACACTAGGTATTTAGACGAAAGTGCGCCTAAAAATTCATTCTAACACTTGCATGCGAAAGGTCCATAAATCTGCCATCTCCACCTAAATCAGTACATAATCCTTGGTCCCGATTTCTAAGGGAAGCCGCGTTCCGCCGGTGTAGGGCAATAGCAAGGACTTTCGCTACTGTTACGTAATTCTACTTCGCCCCCTCTTGACATTTACAACTGACCCTAATTGGTAGAGCTATTTATATAGATATAGGGCTCTGCCACTGCATTAACCGATTACTGATAGATGAAACGTATCAACAGTAAATAATCATCGTTATGAAGACATAAAGCCGTGGCATATTATTCATAATTATCTGAAATACCTATAGGTATAGAATATTTTAACGAACCTACGAAGAATAGAAGAAAAATATTTTGTTTAGACCTTCTTGTCATCGAGGTATGATAATAAACATTATTGGGGGTTTGTGTTTGTAGTGCTGGTCTAATGAGATATTTTAGAAAAATATCGAACATAATATTCGCTCCGTGCGCGACAGCAGCGCCAATTTGTTTTGGTATTAAAGGACTATTTCTGCCTATACTGACAAATACAATTTTTAATAGAATTCGTAAATAAAAAGTATATATGTTAGTTTTAATAAAAGTATATGGATTTATAAAACAATTAAAACATTAATTTATTATTATTATATATTTTTCACGCTTAAATTGAAGAAAATTATGTATAATCATTAAAAATCAATAATAAAATATAGGCAGGCAACAGTATTTACTGGAAAATGTATGAGAAGTTGCCTAAGTCTAATAAGTTGTCATTGAAGAAACCATTTATAATAGCGTGAAGTTAAAATATATAAAAAGGATCGCTACTTATATTTTCATTTTTGTTCTAAAGAAAACATAGAATGAATGATTAAAACTGGTTTCCGATCAGTAAGTCACAAAATTGCATACCAGCCAAATATTATAATCAACGGCAGAAATCTTGAAATCTAGTCCTTGCTGAATGAACATTTAAGAATAAAGGGATATTAAAGAACATCGTAAAATGATAATTTATTGTTTATTTAAAAACTTTATAGTTTCTGATGTCTACTATTTTCAGCATTACTGTTATTATCACAAAAATAAAGGTAATTTTTCTTCTTATTGTACACCTATCCATTTATTTCTTTGATTTAATTTCCACTTTGTTAGTGAAATTTGTTATATAAGTTTCACTGTTTTTTTTTTGCTAGTATTTGTACAATTTTCAACACAGCAACTCCGGTTGCTTATTGTGTTGTTTTTACCTACTTTTTTGAAAAAAAAATAAAATTTATACGTGTATTTGATATGCCAAAATTACAAAATATCCCCCTAAAATGCACGAATTATCCGCAGCTAGCCCTAGTATCGCTTTTGCTTCCCTTTCCATGACTTCGCACGGAGCGAATAGGTACCCTAAATTAAACACATTTCCAAAAAAAAAACATCTTTTAAACTACTTATTAATAAAAAAGGGAGACAGTTTTTCAATGATTAAATAAATAAAATAATTATACTGTAACGTTTTGTTTATTTTAAAAATTGTTTATTTATTTATTTATTTATTTATTTAACAGTTTATTTTTAATTTATTTACACTAAGAATTAATGATTTTATTTATATTTCACACTTATAATTTATTTAACAATTTATCTTTATTCGACAACATTTATTTGAAAATTTAATTTAAACGGCAAAATAATCCATTAATATACAAAATATTATGCTTCATACAAATCCAGTTTTGCTTGATGCTAGCCTAGAAGTTCGCGAAATCCTTCCTCCGCACGTCGGTCTGAGTAAAAAAAAAAATCCAGTAACTTTTCAAAGCGGGCAAGTGGGCATGACAGTGGAACACAAACGGCGATAAGCGTAAACGCAGGCACGATCGCACGACATTGCTCTCTCCTAAAGAGAAAGTTACTCCTGGAACTAAAATAATGGTTGTATCTGAAACACGACCATCTTTTATAATTTCGATTTGCATGGAAGTAACAATGGGCGGTTTTCGCTGTAACCTGGACATTAAGCGAATACCTGCAGACCAGTAGTTGAACCTCGGTATTTTGGATGATTACTCTTCCACCATGTTTCTATTGATCCTCCAATTCAGCTGGTTTCTGTCTGTCTTTGGCATGGCATTGGACTCCACCACGTGTCCAGTAATGCTTCCCAGACATCATGATAAGTTGATCGATCTCGGAAGGTATTTTTTGTTACCAAAAAGGTAACGCGATTCATCTTGAAGTTTCAAGGCTATTCCAGGGGATGATAACATACTTTGAAGTTCTGGCAATCGAACAAACCTCTTCTGGAACACAGATGCCAGACCACCAAGTTGTCTTTAGGAACCGTAAACAGATCTTGTTGCTCGGTTGGAACACTATATCTTGCTTTTCCGGTACCTCCATATACATCCATAAATACTTCAAAGACAAGGTCAGGTGCTCCTTGAAGCTGGTTTACTTCTTCTTCCTTATCATTGTCATCCTCAAATGGAGCTTTGGTTTACAGTTCTTACGTATACGGTAAATGACATCGTTAATTTTTTTTTTATGAGGTACAATACTAGCCTTCCAAGACCTCTGGAGCTTTGGAAAGCAACTCTTCTGTCTTTTTAGGTGCTGGAGCCAGATTTTGTCGACTTCCTTGAAACATCCTTATGTGGCTTGGATATCGTGATTTTGAAATTTGAAAAAAAACTAACTCAGAAACAAAAAACGATATCAACTTGAAATATTTAGCAAAAAGCAAGCTCTATAAGAGCACAAAGAGCATATTGAGTTTGAAAAAAAAATTGAATAAAAATGGGTGGTTAAGAAAAAGTTGAAAATTAAAAAAAAAACCAAATAGAAAAAAAAGGAAAAATATGTCAACCTAAAATTTACACGGGATTGAACTAAAAAAAATCTAAATCAAAGACATGAAATTTTTAGTAAAAATCAAGCTTAATGATTCTTAAAAAATTGATTAAAATGGGGAGTCAAATGGGGTTGAAATTAAAATAAAAATTCAGAAATCAATTTCTACAAGTGATATCAACATAAAATTTTTAGTAAAAATCAAGTGAATGAAGCCTATCTATTCTAAAAAAAAATCTTTGAAAAATGAGGTTAAGGGTTAACTGTAAAGAGTATAATATAGCATGCCAAGCATTATATATCTTCATTCTATTTTATTTTAAGTTTTTAGGAAAATTATTTTTTTTTAATTATATAATACAATATACATATTATTTATGTGCATTTTTTTTACCCAGAGAGCCCCGAAGCATATCTTGCACCGAGCAGGCCCCCTGGTCAAGTTATGCTACTGCTCGGTAGTATGTTATATAATTTTACATTTATAAAATAATAAATTTATTCAATTATTTCAGAAATTCAAAGCTCTGAATTAATTAAGAAAGAAATAATTTCAACATTGTAAATAAATAAATCCGGTCCTGTTTAGGATCAAAAAACAACTGCGTATGCTCAGTATTAACGCAACGATTCTCTTATTGGTGCCAAAAGTGAATTATTTTATTGGCCATATACTGCGTTGCATACACAGTACGTTAATCGATGCATCAGGCAAAATTAGGATTAGGCGCTTAATTATATGTGGACGTGAGAGGCCTAAAGAAAGTAATTGGTTTAACCATGCCCTTTCGAAAAGCTCCTTGAAGACGCTACTGGCCGAGATATATAATCTTCTTTGGATCTGGATCAAGTAGTTTGACATATCATGTAACTATATATAAATTGTGAATGTTTTTTAATTGACGAAATAGTTTTTGGAAAATGTGATGAAGCTCAGAAAGAAAATGAAACTTATATGAGCAATCTATAAATATATAAAATCGTTTATCCTGACTGACAGACTGACCTATCAATGCACAGCCAAAAATATAAGTCTATAAGCTGAAATTTGGAACAGGATTATTTTATAAAGTAAAGATTTTTGGATATATCAGTTTTAAAGAGGATAAATGGGGGAAGTTTTGTATGAAAGTTTTCTTTCTTTGAAGTTAGAAATTTGAAAATTTCAAATACAGCTACTGAGCAAAAATAAATACAATGATATTTTAGGGTTTTTGGATTTTCACATTTTAAGGATAGGGTTTGTATGTGAGTATCGATTTTTTTAAAGGTAGGAACTTGAAAATTGGAATTGTAGCTACTCATCATAAATAATAACGTGTTTCAGGGCTTTTGAAATTTCACATTTTAAGCGGGTTAAATGCGGAGTGCAAGTTTGTATTTTAAGAGTCTCAACGATTCAGTAACCTCGAAAACAACAAACCAAATACTTTTTCAACCTGATCCTTTCATTTATATACTGACATCGATTGTGAAATTCAAGAAAATGTGGGTTGAAACAACAAGCTAAGTTACCCTGACAACACTACACCAAAAAAATACTTGCCTACAACTAAACATAATCTACAGTTGTGCTGTGGGGCAACCCACCCTTCCCACATTACAGATATATGTTCCAAATGTGAAGGGTACATAAACACATTTTACAAAAAAAAAGCTTTTATTTAAAAAATAATATAAATTACAATTATTCATCTTACAAATTAACACCATTAATTAAATAAATAGCTTCATTATCGCACCCGCAAATTACTCTATTTCTATTCAAATCTAACGAATTAATAGGTTTTCCCAAAGTGGGCATCAAAGTGAACACATCCAATTTATTCTTGACGTTGTCCGGCGCCAGCCAAACGTTGGTCTCCACATTGGGAGTCAATAGTGAAGGAACAGCCTCGCCTTTGGTAGTCCAGTGCCAGATTTCTCCTGCAATTAAATTCCAAGTTCATTCACTGATGAATAAGGGCTGATATTTTGATACATGACAGGTGAAACACATTTGATAATTTATATGTGCATAATGAATTCAATTCATAATTTAATATTAAATAAAAAATACATTTTCCTCAACATTTGCAATAAAGTCTCTTTGGCGTCCAACGTGGGACATTATGGAACAAAACAAATTTATCATACTGGACTAATTAAAGAAACTAGGTTTGAGTTTTCTTTGTTTTTGTACTTTTATAAGGAGTTATGGGGGAATTTCGTTTAAAGCCAATTAGAAGGTCTTACCTGCACTTGAACAACTAAATAGTTGATCAGGATACTCTGGATTAAACTGTACTTCAGAAATAGCCCCTTCATGACCATTGAGAACATTAATGGGATAGGTATTTTGACGGAGATCCCATGTAGTTAAAGCTCCTACAATAAAATATATTATAATAATTAATGAAATTGTTAATTAAATGAACTTACCTAAGTCATCTCCTGTTATTACTAAATGCCTTTGTGTGGGATGGTAAGTGAGGCAAGTGGGAGTAACTTGTTCTCCACTGATCATAAATGTACTAGTAGGTCTATTGCTATCTTGTACTCTTAAATCCCAAATTTTCATTTGGCCTCTTAAATTACTTGTTAAAATTTCATTGTGTTTTAGAAAAATCACGCACTGAATGGAGCAACTGTCAGCATCGTCTATGAAAAAAATATTTAAACTATTATAAAGGAAAATTTAGTTTAAAATGTATTAGGAAGTGAAAGAATAGAATATTATTTGAAAATTTTTAGAATTAATACATCATAGACTCAATGCAAAAAGTGACCAAGTCAAATTTGATGAGTTTTGAGTTAATATGACCAGATCACTTGTTAAAGTCAGATCTACCAAAAAAACATGACCAAGTCATATTGATAGAGTTTATTTTGTATTTTCAAGTAGTATAAATATGACTTGGTAATTTTTCTTTTGGTAGATCTGACTTTAACAAGTGACTTGGTCATATTAACTCAATCACATAAAATTGGACATGATTGTAAAGGAAGCCCACAATATATTTAAATTTAGGTTCAAAGGTATAGGTCAGATATACAATACAGGTTTATAAAAGATGATAGAATAGAATAAAATAAAATCAAAACATTAATGTTAATAATAATCAATAATCGAGTACCTATAAAATGGCCCCATTATATTATGAAAATTCAACTTAATTTAATCCTTAATAATATACTAATATAAATAATGAAAATAGGGGAGCAAAAGTAGGCCCTAAGCTAGGCACAAATTAAATTTACATCCAATCTAAAAAGTTCAATATTTGTTTACCAATTTTCCTAAGAATTTTAGAAGACTTTCCGTTGAGCAAATTAATAGAACCATCTTCACCAACGGTAACTATGTCATTATCATATACGGTAACAGATGTGCAAGGACTAGCATCACCATTTTTAAATTGATGAATGTTTTTCCACTCAATTTCGTTTTTCAAGCTTGTACTTTCAGAATAAGACGGAATGACTCTAGTTAAGTATGCAGATCCGCTTGAGGATGAACTTGCAAAGAAATCTGAATTTATAAACTAAAAAACAAAAATAAATATAAAAAAAAAATATTTAGAAGGTTATTAATTGAATGAAAATTTACCTTAATTTCTGTAATATCTCCACAATAAGGAAGGTTATACACTAAAAAAGGGTAAATATCATCTTCCTCTACATTTTCACAAAAATCCCACAGTTTTATATTGTTTTCAACGTTATCTATGCTACCGGTAACGAAAAAATGAGAATTATACGAATCCGGTCTCCAACGTATTTTATTAATTTTCTCAGATACAAAAGTACCGTGTAAACTATGAGACATTTCAGAAAATTTGAAAATTTATATAAAAACGAAATTTTTTATTTTAAAAACCTACAGATAACCTAAAAAACAGTAAATAAACGTTATAACCTAATTTTTCTTCTTCGAAATTATAGTGTTTGCTGTCTCTAACTATGAATCAATACTATCATTAACTGAAGTAAATAATTGTTAAAGGTACCCCTGGATTTAAAAGAACAAGAAAAGTAACCTTGAAAATTCTTCATCTTTGAATTCCAGATACTTTTTACTTTACTATACTTCAGTTCATCGGTTTTTTTGGCTGATTAGTAAAAGTCACGGTTGAAATTACTTTGATTCTTCTCTTTTAAAAATTATATGCCTTTTATAAGTTTGACATAAGATCTGTAATTGATGACCTTGAAGATGTGTATAGAGAATTGCCTAGTTTTTAAATGTTTTTTATTTATTTTTACATTGGAACTCCCGTTCCTATTTTAGTTTCTTGATTTCAATACATTATATTTTCGTTAAAATTATCGATAACATCGATGGCTATTTAAAAATCAACATACTAACTATTCCTAAAAAATTTAAAGTGTATTAAATTGGTGCTAAAAATAGTATTGAACAATGGATGAAGCTAGTGGAATTCCTCATGGACCCCCAATGAATATACTTCCGCCAACCCCTGCAGGACTAGAAAGTCTATATAGTCTTTGCAGAAAAATTTATCCCGACCAGGTCAACCCTTTACAAGTTACTGCATTACTTAAATTTTGGTATGTATTTTGATAGCATTTTTAAGGTTTTAAACTAGTTGAAAGTATCAAAATAATAATAAATAAAACAATAATATAATATTTTTTCATTTGCAAATCAGGTTAGGGGGCCCTGACCCATTAGACTATATATCAATGTATGCAAATCCAGGCATACCCCATGAGAATATTCCTCCACATTGGCATTATATTAGGTAAGTTTGTACTTTTTAAAAAGCTAAATACATTTTATATGCAATATAGGAGTAAGTATTCATATCATAGAATAACGTTTTTTGCTCTACTTTCAGTTTTGGTTTGTCGGATTTGCATGGAGATGGAAGAGTCCATGATGTTACAGGACCAGAAGGACTTTCTGGATTTGGTTTTGAATTGAGTTTCAGGCTAAGAAGGGAACCTGAAGAAACAGCACCACCTACATGGCCAGCTACACTAATGCAGTCTTTAGCAAAATATGTCTTCCAATCAGGTAGATCATATTATTTTAAGGTTATTTAAAAATGGTAGGTGTTATCAAAAAAAGTTCTTTATAAAAATTGTAAAGCATAAAGTTTTACATAAAAATTATATTTGACATTTTTTGATATGATTAAAACTGACAGAGTTAGGGTGGTTAGAAATTAAGAGGACTAACTAACTAACAAGAGTTTTATTTTTAACTAGTTATATTCAAAAACAAATGTCATTTTTAAAACTATGTTTAACAATAACCAATAATAATAATAATAATAAACTCTATTTATTCTTTTCATTACAATAATTGTTTTTAAAATTTTTTTTTTTTTTATTTACAAATTATAAATGCTGAATAAATAGATATACATTTAGTCCATTGAACCAATGAGGTTGTGCATAGACACTAAAAGGAAAATATAAAACATGTGTAACGTGTGTAAAAAAATAAAGTATAATAATATAAGTATGTTATCTATATATATTTTTTTTTTTTGTAGAGAGGAAGAAGAAATCATTTTTTTGTTAATTAACTAATTAAACTTAGTTTTTAGGTTGCTAGTTTTATCTCTTCCTAGTAGAATTATATATTTTTTAAATATATTTTTAATAATATTTTCTGAATTTATTTTGAAGAGGTAGGTTTTATATATTTCTGGAAGATAGTTATAAATCTTACGTGATAGGTAACTATAAGAACGAAGACTAACGTTTTTTGTAGTAATTCTATGACTGCATTATCAGTACCTTTGTACCTGGTGTCATAAACATGATTAACTTTTTCCAATAGTGTTTTATTTTTGTAAGTAAATAATATAATTTGATTCATAAATAATTGTCTAATATCAAGTAGACCAGATTCAAAAAATAACAAATGAGATGGATAAGTAAATGGTTTATTGAATAATATTTTTATAATACGTTTTTGTTTTTTTAAATGACAATTAGCAGCACCTCCCCAACTCAATATAGCGTAACGTAAACGAGATTCAACAAGAGAATAATAAATTATTTTCAAGGATGATTGGTCTAATATATTTTTTAAATATTTTAAGCGATATAAAAGTTGTTTTCGTTATATTATTAATGTGCGCATCCCATTTTAAATGTCTGTCTAAGGTAACTCCTAAATATTTATAACTAGTTTTGCATTCTATTATTATATCTTGTCTTATGGTTAGAGTTTGGAAATCTGGCAAACATCTTGTATCATTCGAAAAAGGCATAAAAAAGGTTTTTTCAAAGTTTACTGTCAATAATTTGTGTCGAAACAGATCATTTTCAGCTTTATTTTTCAATTCGTCCCACTTATCAGCACTGTATAAAATAGCAGTATCATCTGTGAAACTAAGAAGTTGTCCAGCTGTGTTTTCTGTAAGTATATTATTTATATACATTGTAAATAAAATAGGTCCCAATACTGTCCCTTGAGGCAACCCATACTTAATTATTTTTTCATTGCTAATTACGTTACCTATGTTTACTACTTGCTTTCGATTATATAAATAATCAGCAAATAGATCATTTGCTGTTCCCCTTATTCCTGCATCCCCCAAGACTTCCAACATTTGCGTATGACTCACAGTGTCAAATGCCTTGGCGAGATCCAGAAATACGCAGATCACAGGTTTACTTATTTCCAAACATTTTGTAATTTTTTCCACGAGTTTCCCTATTGCATCATTTGTCGATAAGCCTTAAGAGGAGATATATATAAGATAAGAGGAGATATATATATATAACTTGGAAAAATCATAGCGAGCTGAAAATTCAATGATTTTATAGTTTCTTTTTATTAAAAATTGTTTTTTTTTAAGCTATAACAATTTTAATTAGGAAATTTTCAATTAATTATACGAATTTATATAGTAAATTTTGAAGTAAATTTATTAGCTTGACTGAAATGAAAAATATGAGGAATGAACTAATAAAAACAACATCGCGACAGATTGGTCTCCACTTGAAGTTCCATTAAATAAATAAAAATAAATATAAAAGAACTAAATAAAAATATTTTTTTTTTTTTTATTATTGAAATTATCGTATCTCGGCATCAGGGGCCATTGACACAGGTACAATTATAATATTACAAGAGGTTTTACAAAATATATACACTACCTATAGACAAAAGAAAAAACCTAATTCACAAAATAGGGTATAGGAAAATACCTTATACTAATTTAAATTAAAATTAAATTTAAAAAATTAAACAGTTTTCCAAATTCATTAGGACATCTAAGGATACTAATGCTATGACTCAAACCATTCTTAACCCGTTGAGTTTTAAAGTAAATGCAATCTTCCTCTAATAAATGATTGATCCTTAAAGTCCTGTTACAGTACAAACAAAGAGGTTATAGGCTTTGGCAGACAGTAAATGTTTATGGGTCAATCTCGTATGTCCAACTGTCAGTCTTCTAATGATGGTACTTTCTTTCTTTGAGAGAGAGGGCATTTCGAAATAGTGCAGAGTTGGCTGAATTTTTCGAAGTTTTAAATTAGTAATATTGTGCCAATGATTCTCCCACTGATTATGGACCTTTTGACGGAATGCAGTTTTTTGGTCATTAACTAATATAAAAAAAATTAAAATAAAGATAATAAAAAATTAATAAATAAAAATGGGTAAATTAAGAAAAAATATAAAAATAAGTAAATAAAAATAAATAAAATATAAATAAAAATAAATAAAAATAAATAAAAATAAATAAAAATAAATAAAAATAAATAAAAATAAATAAAAGTAAATAAAAGTAAATAAAAATAAATAAAAACAAATAAAAATAAATGCAAATAAAAATAATTAAAACTAAAAAACCAAAAATAAATAAAAAAAAATTAAAATAAAAAAATAATTAAAAAAATTTAAATAAATAAAAATAATAACAGTTAAAGAAATTAAGTAAAAATAGGTACGATATTAAAAATAAAAAATAAATAAAATTAAACGGAAATAAATACAAAGATATAAATAAAAATTAAAAAAATATTTATTTTTATTTACGTTCATCTTTTTATTTTTATTTCTTTTTGTTTAATTTTATTTATTTTAATTAATTTCTATTTTTAATGATTTATCTATTTTTTATTTAATTTTTTTAAATATTTGTCATTTTATTTTTTATAAATACTTAAATAAAAATGAATATTTTTTTATTTTTATTTTATTTTTATTCATTTTTATTTATTTTTTTATTTTTATTTACTTTCTTTTACATTATTTATCTTTTCATTTTTTTAACTATTTTTTTTTTTTTTTTTTTTTTTTAATTATTTTTATGTATTTTTATTTATTTTCTTTTACATTTGTCTTTTCATTTATTTTTGTTTAGTTTTATTTATTTTTTATTATTTTTATTTATTTAATGGAACTTCAAGTGGGGACCAAACTGTCGAGATGTTTTTATTAGTTCACTCCTCATATTTTTCATGTCAGTCAAGCTAATAAGTTTACTACAAAATCTATTTTACCATATAGATTCGTATAATATATTGAAAATTTCTAAATTAAAATTGTTATAACTTAAAAAAACAAAAAAAATAATTTTTCTTAAAAGAAATTTATAATTTTCTGAATAAATAATAAAAAGAAACTACAAAATCATGGAATTTTCAGCTCGCTATTATTTTTCCAAGTCATATATATCTCCTCTTAATTTTTAACCACCCTAACTCTGTCAGTTTTAACAATATCAAAAAATCTGATGTGTCCAACACATGACTTTCCTATCTAGTTATTACAGGCTTTTTCCGGTTATTTTGTATAACCTATTGGCACCTCCATAAATGTTTAGAGGATAAAATAAATCTACCTCGAAACATTTTTCTATAGATATTCATTAAAAATTAAAATACTGGAAAATTTAAATTTAGCACTTCTCCTACAATTTTTCCATTACGGTCCATTTTAGAAAAATCATGTATAAACAAAAATTATAGAGATCGATATCGCAAAAACGTTTATTTCAACAATTTTCATAAAAATCGGAATTTTGCATATTTTGTCAAATTTCTCGAATACGGACCATTTCAGGAAATTTTGACAAAAAGCAAAAATTATAGATAATATTATTAGAAATAACTTTTATTTAAACAATTTTTTTCTCCAAACATAAATAACATATATATTCAATAAAATATAAAAACGGCCCCCCATAGAGTACCCCCAGATGTTCCGACTTTGTCCAAAATCTAATCATTTCACGTCAGGCCGAAATAAAACTTAAGTTTAAAATTTAATGTTTTTTTCTTTATCCGTTTTTGAGTTTTCTTCAAATTTCGAAATTTACACATTTTCTCAAATATCTCGAATACGGTCCATTTTAGAGAAATTATGTATAGGATAAAAATTGTAGAGAATTATATTACAAACAACTTTTGTTTGAACAATTTTTATAAAAAAATATTTTTTTACATTTTGTCAAATTTCTCGAATACGGACCATTTTAGGAAAATTTTGTATAGAACAAAAATTTTAGATAATAATATAAGAAGTAACTTTTATTTGAAGAAATTTCTTCTCCAAACGTAAATAACATATATTCCATAAAATATAAAAATGACCACCTATAAAGTACCCCCCCAGATGTTCCGACACTGACCAAAATCTAATCAGCACATTGGACGCTGGAACAAAGCTTAAGTTTGAAATTTGGTGTTTTTCTGTGTATTGGTTCATGAGTTATGCAACACACACACACACAGACATCATCGCGAAAATAGTCAAAACGGATTCAGGGGACCTCAAAACGTAAAAATCCGTCGAAAACTCGAGGTCGAAAAAAATCATGATTCATATACTTTCCTTATAGGAAAGTAAAAATGTAAAATATTATTTTTATGTAAAACTGCTTTACAATTTTTATTAAGAACTTTTTTTATAGCACCTACCGTTTTTAAATAACCTTAAAAAAACACTTTATTTTCTTGTTTTTTGACATTTGCCGGTGCCTGAAAAACAAATTTTTTTTACATATCGTTTTCAAATACTCTTAAGTGAAAAAATTCCTGTATTTCCTCCAAAATGTTGATTTAAAGGTCTATTTAATTGGACTATTGCAGTAAACAGTTTACTGTATTAAAACTGTCTATTTTTTATCAAACACTAGAAATTAATTCAGGAGCACCACTGGGTTCTCACTGTGGACCAAAATGTTTTAACTTAATTATGTGAGTTATTTTTGAGGATTTTTGACCCTTCTCTCGCTGGTGAAATTATGTAAGATTTTCCTCCCCTAATCTCACTGGAAATTTTTCAAAATTTGTGTTTTAGGTGTAAATGCGTTGGATTATTAAAAAAAAACAATATGTTCTATTACTTTTATTTAAGACTAGCAAAGACTAATATTTGAGAATATTGCTATAATTTAAAATCACAGTGATAAAAATAAATAATAAATACACAAAAATTAATACAGGATTTCTTTAATTTAACTTTACTTTCACACAATTTTACAAAGTTTTGTACTAGCAAAAAAAATTACGTCAGATTTACAAAGACCCCCCTCTCCCCCAAGTAAGATTTGGAAAGATTTAGCTTGAACACCTCACGTAGTTACCCCCTTATTTAATAATGAATTTGGATTTTGATTTTTGATCATTAAAAGTGATGACATGAAAATATTAAAACTTTTGCAACTGATTTATAGAAAAAAAAATACTATTATTCGTGATTATCTAGTTAATGTTAAAATTTTGAAAAAGATAAACAAAATTAAATATATTGGTGTTTATATTTTTATGTATGAGATGAACTTTAAAAATGATATTTCAAACCTGAATGTTGTAGGATTTAGGAGTATCTGTTTTATAGACATATCTCTGAATAGTATTACATGTATTTTTATTCCTTTTGATAATTTTTTGGGATAATGTTTATTAATTAAAACGTTTGTGATTATCACAATTTATAATCCCCAAGAAATTACCAGAGAAGAATCTAGGAAGAAAAAGTTTAAGAAAAGAAATTTATTTACACAAATGTCACCTTCGAGAAATGAATATTTACTCATTACTTGTTGGATTAAAGTTTTGAGTATGGATATGTAGTGTTCTTTTTATCAATAAGACATAATATATCAGAAGGGTGTTCAATTTCCATAGGTTTACCTTTTATTCTAAATAAAACTCATGAAAGTTGTTTGATTATTTATAATATATTTATTTACAGAGCAAGACCCATTTTACAGAATTTTATAACAAAGTTTCATAACATATTTTCATAACAGAGTTTTATAACGTTTCATAACAAATTATTTAAATAGGTAATGCCCTGTGTTCTGGAGACCATGTATCCTGGCACTGCGCCCTGGATAACAGTGAATCCAGGATGCAACACATGCTGATGACCACAGATCTTCAATTAAAAACAGCTCACACCCCCTTTGGTACTGTAGATTTTATCCAAATCGTTGGAATATGCACAGAGGAGCTGAAAGCGGCTCAACAGTGGAATGGCGCCGGAATCCTTGATATGATAACTAGAATGCCTTCGTAAGTACTTAGTCATTACTTTAGATTTATTTATTTAACTACATTACATTAATTTACAATGTTTGTAGCAAGTCTGAGTAAAATCGAAATTTAAAAACATATATATAGTACCTACACAAAAAAAAAAACATAAATAGGTGTGTGTATATATTAATAAATATTCAGTGGAAAAAATTTCAAATAAAATATACCTACTTAATGGAATCCATAAGTGCTTCACGTATTCATTGACAGAGTAGAAGCAATATAACTTAACAAAAATACTTTTAATTGCTTTTTAAACATTAGTGCCAAGCTTTTTGAAATCTTGGGGTAGTAGATTGTATTAGGCTATAATCCAGCGAAAACGATTAATTCGAATATCAGATTGTCTTGTTAAACTGTTACTCTGTCTGTGAATTTCCGTCAAAACAACAAATAGATATATTGTTGGCAGAGGCAATATCTGAAGTTTTTTAAACAGTAGACATGGTTTACGAAAACCCACACTAGCTAATAGCCTTATTGCTATTTTCTGCAACTTGAAAGATCTGATCTGCACCAACAGAGTTGCCCCAGAGAATAATTCCATAGCCGATGTGGGAGTGAAACAGTCCAAAATATGTTGTTTTTAGAGTTTGAAAACTTGTAATATTCTTTAATTGACGAAGGATAAAAAGTGAGCTAGCCAATTTATTTCTTAGATGATCCACGTGATCACGCCAAGATAGATTACTATATATATATACCAAGTAGTTTAACACTATCTGAACTCACTCTAGGAATATTATTAGAAAAGTAAAGACTTTGTGTTTTGTCCTCATTTAATTGAAGTTTGTTGGTCATAAACCACAATTGCGATTTAGAATCTTTGTCGTCAGAAATGGTCGTATAAAACTAGGTAAGTCAATAATATAAATGATAAATAACAGAGGGCCAAGAACAGAGCCTTGTGGAACACCATGTTTAATTAAAGTCAGACTTGGAATTATTGTACTTATATGATATACTTATTGCAAATTCCATAAAATATATCACACTTGTAGTTAGCCTTTAGTATAATTATTTTACTTAAAATCAGTACCACACAATATTTTTTTGTTAATAAAATGTAAATAGAGGCTATTGGTTTCAGCCCAAGGGCAATCTTCAGGTATAAAAGGAAGAATTACTATGGTTTATCTGTATTAGAAGCATCTATTACTACTTTGGTTGAAAATTACATTTTTAAATACTATATATTGGGAAATCAGACAATTTAACTTTTGTTACGTATACGGTTTTTATACACAGGAATACCCTGTTCTTAATATTTATTAATTATTTATTTTACTCACTAGAAATTAATTGTATACTATTTTCAATATGGATATTATATGTAAATTTCTCTTGAAAGTTCTCAAGTAAGTTTCTTTTATTTTATAGCCTAGCGACATTTTTTTTTGTAGGGCTGGAGGGCCGTGGCACGTGACAGACATGCGACGAGGCGAAAGCATATTCGAACTTGACATGAACGCACACGAGGAAGTCGAACGGGGTTTTGAATTAGAGGGCTCGAATTTGAGCGGCGTCAGTGCGAGATGTTCATGGATGGAACAGGATCCATCCAAAATAGTCTCACAGTTTAAAGATTTTAGTGACGAACACATTGACGAGTTTAGAATGAAATCACCTCTGCAACAAGGTAAGTGTCACAATATTTTCGATACCAAATTAACATCTGTAATCACAAAGCGTTTTTAAATAGTTACATGACTGTTAAGTTAAATGGTTAAATTCAGTTACAAACGCCATTTTGTGATTTTCAATTTCTTTAAAACCATCTTCATCATTGTAATCAATGTGACAGGTAAACTCGTCATCTGTGACAGAAATAATATCTTTAACATTTTTCACATAAAAATCTATTAAAACGATTAGCTTATTCATTTTTTCTCTATAACGACTTTTTGACCATTTTGTTTTTCTGGAAAACATTTAAGAAATCGTAATCAGTAATTTAGTACGATTGAGTACCTTCATACTCAATTCTAAATACTCACCCTTAATAATAGTAATTCTTTTTTACAGGAGGTAATTTGTTTTTAGGCAATAGATGCGTTACGGATTCAGCAGAATTAATAAGTATTAAAAAACTGGAAGGAGTTCATTTAGTGTTCAATTTAGAAGCCGGAAGTCTGCTCCCTCTGGCAATACGGTAATAAATGCAACATTATGCATCAAAAATAACTTTTATTTGCTAACATCTAACAGTTACATTATGGTTCTTGATTTGAATACCATAGTGATGGTCATTATAGTTTAAGTAAAGGTTCAAAAAGTACCATCTAAATATGCAATTTTTTAAAATTTATAAATTAATTACAGATGATATTTTTGAACTTTTTGCATCATCTTCATAAAAAAAATCAATGCCATATCAAATAGTAACAGCACAAAGTATTTTGAAACAAAACAAGATTTGGTATTTAAAGTATGGAGAAGGGGATTAATTATATTAATTTAATCCCAATCTTTAATTAAAATTCGTCTTTTATAACAAAAAAATGTTTAACTAATTTAGGCTATATTTCATTTTTAAATTAGGAGGTGCGATTTGAATTTGTCGGGCCTAATAATAAATCGTCTTTATTTAACAAATGTATATAATCAGCCAGTGGCGTACTCACGGGGGGGGATAATAGGGATATATATCCCCCAGGAAGTCTCAGCACTTCCGCAAACTCAAAGTGTTAAGTGATCATAAGAAAAAATAAGAGTAAGAGACGTCTAAATCGCTTTATAATTTAAATCAAATACATCATGCAGGTGTTAGAAGTAACTTAATAAATAAAAATGTAATTTGTCTCAAAATTGTTGTGAGAAGTTTTCGCGGCACTTTAAAAACCGTGTTTTCTGCTTGTATTATCGTCGATTATATAATTCATCGATCAGTTATGTAATATGAGGTTTGTTCCAACAACGATCCAAAACCAGGCATTGTCACCAGGATTCTGCGCAGTATATATTTTGGGGTCCTAATGATCTGCTGCGCAGAATCTTGGTGGCAATGACTGGTTTTATAATATCATATAATGGGAGATGCATGAAATAGCAAGCACAAAAAGTTTCCGCTTTTTGCACAAAAAGTTTCCGCGTTTTGCCTAAAAAAACTCCTGTTTTCTTCAAATAACATTTTAATTAATTTTCCCTGTGTAAAGGCGACTTTTCAATTCGCTGCTCCTAGTTTAAAAATTAAATATATCCGATAATGTTTTGTATATAATTAAAACAAATAATTATAATACAGACGCTTAGTGTGAAATGTATTGTTATTATGATCCTTATTAGAACTATTAATTATTTTTAGGGGTAGAGTAAAACACGGTCGACATTTCACCTTTAAATCGGTTTTGGGAGAAACGGCCATCACTTTAGTGGCTCATTCTGTGACTGGAACGTTGGTGGAAAACGAACATCCCTTCGTAACTCAAGGTTCTTGGTTGCAAGTGTTGATTTCGGACGATTTGGCGCAAGATATGGCGGTCACCTTCCAGGTATATCAATCATTTACATTTTTAGATCTTTAATATTTATTTCAGGGGATTAATCTTTTTTTTTATATTAATAATAGAAATGTTTTTTCAACTTACAATGCCTAATTTCTAACACCCTATATTTATGGATACTGTGGCCATGACAAATTCTATGATATATCTAAAATTTAAACAGTTTAAGGGGACTCAATTTTGCATTTAAAATTTGTGTGGTCATTTTTATCTTTGAGGGATCACTGTTCGAGATCTGTTGCTCTAAGAACGAATATATCTCCCTTTTCACCTTAAAATTAACAGAAAACGGGTGGTTTGAGAAGACCCAGTTTTCAGTACTTAATTTTGAGAACCAAGGTGTAATTGTAAGGGTTTCGACTCTCACAAAAAATGGCTAAACAATAAAAAAAAAATGGCTAAAACAAAAAAATCTGCTAGGTTCGTAAAAAATTATCATTTTTAACCTGTCAATCGTACAAATCACAGTTTATTTTTATTTTTTCAATCTATTGAATTTTTTAATTTATTTATAGGTTTTGGCAAATCCAGAGGCGTTATCGTTACCAAAAACATTCTCTTGGCCGGATAAGAGACTTTCTATTACCATCGTTTCTGATAAACTATAGTAGCTGTAAATTGGATTATTAACTTATGTAATAAGTTTTTTAACCATGGCAATTTCTACGGAAATTCAATTTATATGTTAATTATTATATCACAGTACGTGACATTCTACAAATGTATATTTTTTTTAAAGAGACTGATATATTTTTAAACTCTATTTCGCAGCCTTTTTTTTTATTAAATCTAATTTTTAAATAAAATAATTTCCGCCCTATACCATTTTGTGTTAACTTTTGCAATAACTAAGTATCTATGGCAGTTTGTGATATATTTACTCGAATATGTTTATTTAGGTTTTCTTATTTATATTTATATCTCGTACATAATCAAATTTATACACAGGTGGTTCAAATTAACTAAACCTTATAATAATCATTTTTTTACAGGTATATTTACTTCTCAATTAAAAGTAGCCTTTTATCAATGTTAAATATGTATTCCACTTATTTATATTTTATTTATACTATTTAAATGATGTGCCTTATATTTATATGTGAACAAATACAAAAAAAAAGAAACTAATTTATTTTTTCAATTCAAAATGATCCTTTTATTACCAATTCTGCAATTTATTTCTAGTGGCCCAGGGACTATGTAGCTGTTTATCTAATACGTACAAGACTAATTGGCTGTTGTTTTAAAGATGATATCAGGCCAAAGCGATATAGAAATATGAAAAAGAAGAAGAGATACAAATCTTGTGATTGTGATATGTCTAGCAAAAAATTAATAAAATACTTTTCTATCGGTTCTTTAGCAACATGTGGATTTCTAGCAGGAATATATACAGAACGAAAAAGGCACTTATGCAACAACGACCATTTAAATATAAAAAATATGCCGGGGCTTCCAATGTTCGGTACCGTTTCTGCAGCATCACCTTATACCCCTGTTCCTGTACCTACTGATCCATCTATAACTGCTCCAGAAATAAAAACTCACACGAGTAGAGTATCACAAATAATGAAATACGGTTTTCCCAGTCTTGATCAGGTCAGATCTTTCAATGATTATGTATTGAGCTATGATCGTAGGAATAGAGTTGCACACTGGGTCTTTGAACATTTGACTAAAGAATCAGTTAAACACAACAGCTCGGTTGATAGATCTAAGTGCGAATTTAAACCTGACGACAGTATACATAAATATTTCAGGTAAGTAAAGATACATTTAAAATTTTATTAAATAGGTAAGGGGTATAGTTGATGAAACTGAACTTAAGTTACCTATCTATATTACAATTATCATAATTTCAAGTATCACAGTAAATTTAATTTGATTTTACATCATAGAGAGTATCAAAAATGTATTGTAGATCTGAAAATTCGGATTATAAAAAGTCTGGTTATGATAGAGGACATTTAGCAGCAGCCGGTAATCACAAGTACAGCCAACAACATGTTGAAGAAACTTTTTACCTATCTAATATGGCCCCGCAGGTAGGTAAAGGGTTCAATCGAGACGCTTGGAATAAATTAGAAAAACATGTTAGGAAAATGACGAAAGATTATGAAAATGTTTATTGTTGCACAGGACCCTTGTACTTACCAAGGTATTTATTTAATTTTATGTTCGATTTCAAAAGAACATTTTTAGATTGATTTATAATTTAAATGAAATTGGGTGTTTTTTTAGTAAAGAAAATGATGGAAAATTTTACGTGAAATATGAAGTTATAGGTGCAAATCATGTCGCCGTGCCGACTCATTTTTTTAAAATAGTGGTGGGAGAATCTTCTAATGGCAAATTGGAAATGGAAGCTTATGTAATGCCCAATAAAGTAATTGATGAGAATGTACCATTAACTAGTTTCCAGGTAAAACATATATTTTACAAAATAAAATCAACCAATTAATATTGTATTATTATTTATCTTTTAGGTACCACCCGATAGTATAGAAAGGGCAGCTGGATTACTATTTTTCGATAACCTTTCTAGGAACAAACTTAGCAAAGTTAATGGTAAAAAGAATTGAAATCTCCAAAGATTAGTTTATAAAATTTTAACTACTTATTTATTTACATTGTTTTCGATTTTATCATTGTTTTTATTGTTAATTTTATCAATTTTATTATGACTTTATCATTTCAACTTAAAATGGTACAATCTATTTGTGATAAATGTAAATATTTAGATAGTAGGTTAAAAAAATGAATAAAATATTTATGTCTAAAAAGTCTTTTATTTATTTAAATGAATTGCTTCACCTTAATACTAAGTTTAACAATATGTAATTATTATATTACTATTATAATAGGCCTTTATGGTAACTTAAAAGTAATCAGTCATAATACTACAGAAAACTGTTAAGACTAATAAAAATGGCAATCTGTAATATTTAAAAAGTATTTTACTGTATACCTAATTTCCTTTTATTTGATAATGTTGTCCAGTTAAACACAATAAAATAGAAAGTACAATATTATGCAGATCTACAAAATACAGGGTGTCCCAATGAAATGTAGCCCGTTTCAGTTTGTTAAAATTTGGTTACGGTGAATTTAAAAGAGGAGATTTTTAGAAAACACCCTGTATAGGTATTACATAATTTCTGTGTCACTAAAGCAAAATAACACAGCAAAAACCGCATGTTTCTATGATTTGTTTAAAAGTTATAAGCTCTGGAAATGGGCTACTTTTCATTGGGACACCCTGTATAATGAACATTTTACCATAATATTAACTAAAATACTACAGATTCATATATTTCACCGATTTATAATTTGTATCTTCAATGAATAACAAGTAGATCTATAAAATATATATTAATCAACCTTTAACTTTTACTTGTTCTAAGGATTCATAAAAACTCCTGAACATCCTGGTAAAATATTCATGGAATGACTGCATTCTTGTTGTGAACTGTCGGACATAATTATGTCTGAGGATGTTGTAGCCTTTGCAGGGATATTGGCTTTTATTTCCATCAATGCAGCATCTTCTATAATTTCTCTGTGTTTCTCTAATTCCCGATCCAATTGCAGCTGCTTGTCTAGCTGATATAGGGAAGAAATATTAAAGTAAATTAATAAAACTTTTATTTAAAAAAATTTACATTTTTTTTAATTGAATTATTTTTTAGTTTACTAGTTTGTATTATTTTAGTATTAAATAAATCTTATAGTTTCTTACATAAAACTATTTAAATTTTAATAAATCATAATTATTAAATTAAACCTCCCCAGTAAGGTCAAAGCTCTAGTCTTTGACCTAATAAAGAAATGTTATAGATTCTTTGGATTTTTCCAATTTATGTGAACTCTAAAAGCTTATTGTTTAATACATTAAAGGCTTGTATGTTTAGGATTTCATAAAAATTCTATTACACTTACACCCGCTGTGATTGAATAGGGAAACTAAATTTTTGTGACTATTTCATATGGTTAAAAATCAATTTAGACATTGTAGACCCCCTAATTTCGTCTCAGAAGTACTAGGCGTCATCAATGATAACTTACAATTTAAATTTGCTTTCTTATTTTCAGATTTTAAAGTGATATTTGGTCAAACATTAAAGCAAGAACAAAGACTAGAGCTTTAACCTTATTACTTATAATAAGCTCACATACTATAGTAGAGCAAAACGTAAGCACTCCAATGCTTTTCGTTAGATTGGTTTAAAATTAGGTTACATTTTTATACATACCTTATGATTCTTTGCTAAATTACCATCTGGTTCCACTAATCCCTCTTCTATTTGATAATACACCGTCGTAGAATCGGTGCCTACTAAAGCAAGACAAGTCAAAGGGCAATTATGAGCTCTGATATATGTTTGCAGAAGGGAAAAATCTAAATATTCACTGATTGTGATAGGAATAAAGGCGCACATAGGTGCATCCTTTTTCTTTTTACCGGTTATTATGATTTTGCCAATACTTTCGTACTTCTTGTATTCAACACTGTAATATTTCTTCAGTTCAATAAGCTCTAGATAAACTTGTACAGCTATTACGGCTTGAGGTTTAGGCATTCCGATAGCAAAGTCGATTACAAGTTGTTCCTGCATTGTAAATCTATATATGTAGATTATAGAAACAACCATTTCGGCTTTTATATTTTCTTCTTTGCTTTAATTATCAAAAGAGCAATTATTTTTCACGTGCCTCTGCTCTTTACAAATGTTTATTTTGGTTGTTTAGTTTGTTAGGTTAAGGTTAGGTTTTAATTTCTTCTTCTTTTACTTCTTCCTTTATTTGAGCCTATATCCCATAGATCTATATCCTACAGGATAATTTACCCATAATGTCTAGTTAGTAATATGTTATAAATTATCATTAGGGTGGAATGGGGCAAAATTAATACAAAACTCCGGTTGTACGTTTTTGAATAATTCGACTCTAACAAAAAACCATCGTAACTCGAAATTGCAGCAGCTTGTCTAATATAAAATGTCACCATAAAAATACATTTTGAATAAAAATTTTTGAGAATGTAAAATTATGAAAAAAAAAAACGTTTTAAACAATTTTAATTTTAACAGGATTTGTAGAAAGAATAGTCTATGATAAATTAGTTAAAAGTATTATTTTGTTCAAGGGGTTTTTTCATTACTTACTCTACTTCTAGCCTATCAAAGATATACAGGGTGTTTCAAAAAGGTATGTCATAAATTCTTTCTCAGATAGATTACCAAAAAATAAGTGGATTTGGCTATATTTACCTATATCCAAAACTGCCTCCTAACAAAGTTAAACTAACATTCAAAAAAAAACGTTTTTTTTTTTGTAAAAAGTTTGCTTTGGCGAGTTTTCTTTGAATTTTTTGCCAGTGCTGTAGATTTGAAATCCCAATATTCCAAGGAGAAAAAAAAATAAAGCCACCTCCTTAAAAAAGTTAGGGTGTTGGTACCTTTTAACCACACTGTATTTTTTTTTTACATAAAGAAACTTGCTTCTTCGATCTTAAAATCAAAAAGAACTATATGAATTTTTAAATTTTTTTTAATTAACTTTGTATCTTATCTTAGTTAAGGAGCTATTTACAATTTTTTAACTGAATTTCTAGAGCAATTCGTCCGTCCTGGACTTAACATAACAACAAAACTAAGAGTAGGTCAGGAGTTATTGTACAAAAAACGCATATAAAAATTAGTGATGTTTCTAGGGCTGTGCTTGAGCCGCTCCTGCAAAATCTACCTCTTTTATTTATATTTTTGTATTCAAGAAGGATGAGGACATGTTGAACATTTACTAAATTAAATAGTTTATAAAATATGTATAATAATTATTGTCAAATGTTTATTTTTAATTGTTAATTTTTTGTTGTTTAATTAAAAAAATATTTTTTTTAAATACTATTAAATTTAATAAATACATTTCCAAACTAACGTGTATTTTTATCAGTAGCATATGATGAACCCATGAGGACGGGTGGCCTGCCATTTTTATGGCGCCAATAGAGGACTTCTATACAAGGGAAGTGCAACCAACTTGACAAAATAAAATTGACACTAATGACATAAGAAATCGGGTCACATAAAGAGGCTGTTTTTTAGTTTGATTTTTGGTTTTTCCTATCTACTTTCATGCCATTTGCATACCTTGTACCCGTAACGTGAAAAAGACTTTTTATTTTAGGGTATTTTACATTTAAAGGTTGAAAACGTTTGTCAATATCAGCTGTCGATAATGTCAAAACATAAGCGTAGCATTGCATTTTACTTTTTGTTGTTATTAGTCTAATTGTGTTTCTCCTGCTTTCTCGAAACATTATTTTTCATTTGGTTTTATTTATTTATGTCGATTGCAAAATGCTGCTGCTACGAATACAAGTTCTATAAAATATACAACCAACATACAATACTAGTTACTTATGCCCATCTATGGTTACGCCTGTGTTCTATCATCAACATAATTGACAGCTGACAATGACAAAATATTTCAACCTTTAAATGTAAAATACCCTAAACTAAATAGTCTTTTTCACGTTACGGGTACAACAAGGTATGCAAATGGCATGAAAGTAGATAGGAAAAACTAAAAATCAAACTAAAAAACAGTCTCTTTATGTGACCCGATTTCTTATGTCATTGGTGTCAATTTTATTTTGTCAAGTTGGTTGCCCTTCCCTTGTATAGAAGTCCTCTATTCAATATTATAAATACCTTTTTTTAAAGCGTAACGTGTTTATTGTTTTTCCCGCCATTTTTGTTTTGTTTTCGGAAAAGGTTCAGATTTTTCTTTAATTATAGTCATTGAAAGTATTTAATATATTCAATAGCCGAAAGTTTATGAATTTTTCTTTGTGTTTAAATATATGTAATCTAACCCAAATAATGTGGTTTTTGTTGTTACACCAGGATACCTATTCTCTAACTCATGGGAGCACTCCCACACTCCCATGCTCCCATACTCCCATGCCAACGTTGCCAAGTCGACAGAATAACTTTGATCTACTATTTAAGGACCGATCCACCGTTGTGTTAAACGAAGTTTAAAATTACATTTTTACATTAACAATGTCATTTTAATCTCCGTTTAACTCAACGGTGGAATCAACCCTTAGTAATTCAAATTTGCTTTGTGTTAAATACGGACCTAATCTGGCAAGCCCGCAATTCTCCCTCCCATAGTATAAAATCTGACCTTACTACGCATGTACCTGGGCTAAAAGTGAGTAAGCACGATATACCCACCTAAGAGTAAGAGAGCAAAATATATGGGAGCACTCCCATGGGAGCGCTCCCATGACTTAGTGAATAGCTATCCAGGGGACCTATTTTCAAAGTATGTGAGCACTCATTTCTCTCAAGATTCTCATCAGAAATGTCATACGTCAATGTGGAAATGTTGTTTTTAAAGGCATCGAGGATTAAAATTCTTAGGAGAATTTTAATTATCTCTAAATAAACCGAGAGAAATAGTCAGTGAGTTCACACTGGCCCTAAGAGCCCATAAAATACGGTTTTACGTTGACGTATGACATTTCTCTTGAGAGAAATGAATTCTCTCGAGTTTGAAAATAGCCCCCCAGGGGGTCGATTCTCGACTTTTATTCCCATGGGAAAATAAAATTTTCCCATGGGAATTCAGTTTTCGTATTCTCGGCATAAGCGGTGGAATATTTTCCAATGAGAAGTATGGGAAAATATTCCCCTGCTTGCGAGCATTGGAAATTGTGTTTTCCAATGGGAATTGTACTAGAGTTTGCGCATTAAAGTCGAAAATTTGACGAAAGACCACGCGAAAGACTAAGACATAACCACAAATTATTGGATATCTTGGATTTTTGGTGAAATTGTAGTTAAAACATGTTTTTTGTGTATTTATAAATTGATATTATTTTATTTATGTGGGTATATTATTTTTACCTCTCTTTCACTAAGAAACTGATTTTCTTAAATTAGTTAGAAATAGAAGGTCTGTTCTGGTTTTGAGAAATAACGATCCACAACTGTCGGGCTCATGCGCAGTAGATAAAAAGTGTTCTGGTTTTTCTGGGACTACTTCGGATCTCTCAGTCCAGTGTTCTGGTTTCGTATCCGAAATAATCCGTGATTGTTGTAAACAGTCAAAATGTGTTCATGCTTAGGAGTGTGGATCGACTCGGACTGTTTTGATCGCGCATGCGTTTTTGAAGTGTTATGAATATTGTATTGGCTTTTTAGACCATACGGAACGAATGCAATCCCAAATTGTTTATTTATATGTGGACGAATGTCTCTTGTTCTTGTTTTATTTGTAAATTAAAGCAATTTTAGAATTATTAATTTTTTAATATTATTCTGTTTTTATTTATTCCATTGAAATGTGATGATAATAATAAACATATACATGCAAATGTTATTTGAAGCTGAGCTTTCAAAAGGAACTTCATTATTATAATAAACAATAAACAAAACACCTTTATGTGTTCTGGTTTTCCAACAATTTCAAACAGTCGGGGATTTTTTGCCTTTACGCATATGGTCCGGCGCAGTTTCAAAACAGTTTTCATTTTGAGAACCAGAACAAACCTTGTGGGAGCTGCTAAGGGACTGGCAAATAGGTAACACAAATTGAGAAATTTGTAGTAAATTTAATAAGACCATTTCGAAAATTTTATTATTTCCGTTAACGAAAGAATTTCTTATATACATATATAGTTTCTCGAAACTTTCGTTGCTCTTCTATACAAAAGCTACTTTTTCTTTTTTCAATATGTGAAAAGAAAAACTAAAAATAACTCGATAAGTTTTAATTATACATAATCGAATATTTTCACTTGTCCTCGGTCAAGCTAGCGATTGCTCGGCACGGCATCTGCTCCAGCGGAGGCTCGGCAGGTAATCGGTTACCCAAAAACCACAACAAATACAAATAATACCAACAGTAAATTTTAAAATATCTTTAATGTTATTGGTTATTTCGAAATATTCGTGAACTTAATATCAGACATACGTGAAACTATTATTTCCATGGGAATGTCTATTCCGACAAGTTCGAGAATTGCATAACCTATTACCATGGGAATATAAGTAGTGGAATCTTTTCCCATGGGAAAATTTTCCAATGAACTCGAGAATCGAGCCCCAGGGGACGTCGACAGTCGATAATTCAGATCACACAATGACACCAATGATGTATATAGTAATAAATATTGCTCAACCATAAAAAACTAAAAACTACACCGTGAAAAGTGACTGATCGTAGAAGAGTAAGTATTCTGTGATCGTAGATAAATTTTGACAATACACGACAATAGTCAAATTTTATTGAAAAATAATAATATAAACAATAAATAATTCTTATATTAAAATGGCACGGAGGTCTCAATTTACTGCTTCCGGTCTGATTTAATTATGAATGAGCAATCTATATGACTATATAGCATTGGATTTTGTCCCCTGGCTACACGAGCGCCATCTTAATTGTATACATTTTGGTGGCCACTTTTTAATATAAAGATCCATATAAGATTGTCCTCCTTTTCTCTACCCTCCATATCTTCTTCGTTAACATGTTTTCTTCTTATAAAATTGGTCTTGATTTTTTTGAATACGCAGTCAAATATTCTTTTTGAATGGCCTCGACACCATATAACAAACAAGTTTAAAAAAAAAATACACAAAAATTAAAATAGAGGTTGAATTGTTGAATAACATAATTTATCTTATTGATTTTGATATGCAACATTGGTTAAATATATTACAAATACAGGTGAAATTTTCATCTATGGGTTAAGTTCAAAGTTCAAATTTGATAAGGAAAATGTCTTTAGCAGGAAGATTGGCTTTTGTAACAGGTTAGAAGGGTATTTTTTTAGCCTATTAATGTATGCATTTTATTCCTTACTTTAAATTAATTTTATTTTAATTATATAGGTGGTGGTCAAGGTATAGGCAGAGCGACATGTAGGATCTTATCTAGAGAAGGAGCGTCAGTTGTTGTAGCAGATAAAGCTCCAAAAACTGTGGATGAAACATTGAAAATAATAAACGATGAATCAAAAAGTCCACATCTCGGAGTTGAATTAGATGTAGGAAAAGCCAAAAGCATAAAAGATGCTCTGAAGAAAACCTTGGAAAAGTATACAAAACCACCAACGATTATTGTAAATTGTGCAGGCATTACCAGAGATAACTACCTCTTAAAGTTATCTGAGGAAGATTTTGATGAAGTTCTTAATATAAATTTAAAAGTAACTATATGAAATTGTAAATCTTACAAGACAGACATGTTTATGAATCAGACTTATTTTAGGGTACATTTTTGGTAATGAAAACATTTGCAAACTCAATTGTCGAACATGGTTTACCAAATGCTTCAATTATAAACATATCTAGTATTGTTGGTAAATATGGAAACATAGGCCAGAGCAATTATACAGCTAGTAAGGCTGGAGTTGAACTTTTAACAAAAACTGCCTCAAAAGAGTTTGGAAAAATGGGTATTAGAGTTAATACACTTTTTCCAGGAATGATCAAAACAAGAATGATTGAATCTGTACCTGAAAAAGTGCAGGATAAGTTTAAGAGCATGATTCCCTTAGGCAGATTTGGACAACCAGAAGGTAAAATGAAAATTATTTTGAATATTTTATACTATTCTTTTTTTTTTTTTTTTTCAGAAATTGCAGAAGTTATAGCATTTTTAGCTTCTGATAAGAGTTCCTACATGACTGGGGCTTCTATTTTAGTAACAGGCGGGTTTTAAATTTGTATTTATATTGTTTTTAAAGAAATATCACCAAAATATATTTTACTTAAATGCTTTATTTAAAAATATACAAAATCAATCAACTATTTTTTCTTTTTCAACCTCTTGGCTTGTCTCCAAGCCTTATAATGAGTCTTCTGCTTTTCTTCAATTATTTCCTTATACTTCCTCTTGTTGTATTTATTAAATTCTGCATCAGCTAAAAGTTCATCTACCAAAGTTTTCTTGCGCTGTTTCTTTGGAACACGATCATTGTAGAAGTCTAAAGGAGCATCCATCACTTTACCAATCTAAAAGCAGATAATGAATAACAAGTTATTAAAAGTGATGAATTGATTGTTTTAATAAAATATTAGAGAAATTAAAAAAAAAATATCACCTGGAAATATTTAGGTAATACTTTTAAGTCATTCTTTTTATAGAAATGTTTTGGATCAAGGACTGATCTCATTTGTAGGACTTCCAAGTCTCTTTTCACTTCATCTGTAAGTTCAGTCGCTGGTAGACCATACCATTTTGAACCTTTCGTTAGGTCTCTCTCTTTCTAAAATGAGATCAAATACTTTATAGACTTTTAATCAACATTTTGAATATACTTACTCGTCTTTGCTGTTTTAGTTTCTTGTCAGATATATCAATAGGTGGTACCACATGCAATTTTTCAAAGTCTGGAGTTATAATGGACTTTTCTAAAATCTTTTTCACATCTATCTTATCTTTTTCTTTTATTAACTTTTTTTTTGGTTTAATATTTCTTTTTTTTAATGTGCCATCTTCGTTTACCCCTAAATCTGCTAATATTTCTGTTACCAGAGGGTTTCTTGATTCAGTTTTCTGTTCAGGCCTTTTAGGCGTCTCTAATACATGTTCGAAATCTTTAAATAATTCTTCCAGAAATGGATTAGCTAGAAGAAACAAAGTAAATATTTTCTGTAAAGTTAAATAATTTCGATTACATTACCTGCTTTGCATGATGACCCTTTTTTATCAATATGGAAGTCTGTACTATCTAAAAATTGTTAAAAATAATTTAATAAATAAAATAAGACTGATCGGTAGGAATATTTGCTAACCTAGATCTTTACTTTCGGAGTCATATTTGTCTGCGTTTCCAATTGTGTCTATGGTAAACTCCGTGCTTTCTGGAAAATATCTATTAATTCAATATGATAGGAGAAACTGAAATAGTTACCTGTAATATTATCATCACTAATATCAGTGTTTCCTGCAGTGTCTATGATAAAATCCATATTTTATTCAAAAATTAAAACTATGTTCTTTTATCTTTAGTTAGGTTAGTAAAGTAGGTTATGTTGAATATGTCCATGTCATATTTAGAGGTTAATGTTCTAGTTTATTTTAATAGTAAATCTCTTACTTTGTAGGAGGTCAGTCCAATATAATTTTTTTTCAACTGGTGCATTAAAAAATAAAGGTCTGTTAGTGTATTTAAAATGAAGATGAATCTTCTTCCCAGCTTTACTATGACTTGACTCTTTCTGCAGTTGTATTCAATCACATTTTTCTTTTTAAAAATAAAACAAAATACATTATTTTTTTAATGAAACAAATACCTAACATAGAAAAAACTAACAACTAAAAGGCAAAAAAGAGCTGATGCCTAGGACAAAGAGCAACTAGTTATTGGCTGTTCCTTGCATTTTCGAACGCTCTTTCCTTCTTTAGTTTCTAAAATTATTTTTGATAAATCCTCATAATCTGGGTAAGCCAACGTAGACAATTTTGAGTGGACCACCGTTCCGTTTACTGCAACTTCAAAAGAACCTGAAAAAATTATTATTAATCCGGTATGGTGTACACAGAGCCACTGTCGAAGCAACCATTTAAATATTTTCAGAAACACATTCATGCATTTTTACATCCTTACCCATTCCTTACCTCTACGACCTTCCCTTCCTATTACTTTTAGAGAAGGATGCTTTTCCTCCAGATGCTCAACTAATTCTTGAAACTTATTCAAATACCCACACTTGTTACTGAAATTTTAAATGTAGGTCAATTTTAATTGAAAAATTGTTCAAACAGCGTTCATTACCCTTACCAGTATTCCACACTCACTTCCGGATCAGAGTTTTGTTCCATTATTCACATTCAACATTCCTTCTAATTTTTACAATAAAAAATTAATTATATTCACTTGATGGGTTATTAGTCACTATCTTATTTGCCCCAATTTTTTTAGGTTATGTCATGTAAAACCAGGTACAGGGTTTTCTAAAAATACATCAAAAGTATGAATTTCATACAGAATTGATAATCGTAATTCCTACATAATTTAATCAACAATGGTAAGGGAATTTATAAAAATTATTTACTACTTTTGTTTAATACACCACAGCAAATTCTAATGCATGTATAAACATTAAAGGAATTTATATTTATAAATTAAACAAATGCACAGATGTACATATTATTATGAATATATTTTGACAGCTTCCTTTGCAATTTTAGGCACTTCTGGGGGCGCAGTTAGTAATAACATTAGTAATGATCAGTGTTATTCAAAAATTGGGTCCCCATTATTCTTTCGCCAGATGGTTGTTGTGTTCTACAGGCCTAGTTCGTTATTTATACCCAACAGATAGCGAACTAAGAGAACTGGCGAATATTCCTAAAGAGAAAAATAAAAATCGTAAAAACCCGAAGGTACAAACGAATGGAAATACTAAAGCAGATACATTTCACATACCCAGATCCTTAGACATTAAATTAGACTGTATAAAGATTACTAATATGGATGTGATACATTTAAGATATTACACAGAGTATCAGTGGCTTGTAGATTTTTCTGTTTATGCTTCTATCATATATTGGGTTACAGAAGTAAGCAATTTGTTTTATTTAAATTTTCTAGCAGAAATAACACCTGGTTTTTAATTTTCAGATATATCAGGTATGGTTTCCTTTGAAAAATGAAATAAATTTAAGCATGATTTGGTGTATGCTGGTTATATTATTTGCTGTGTATCCTTTTCTTAAAAATTATTCTAACAAAATGTATATTTTTATTATTGACTTAAATGCATTGACAAACTATTTTATATATTTTGTATTCTATATAAAATTGAATGAGAATGTAAAAAAGTAACAGGTGTATCATTAAATATGATTGACCTTAACAATTTAACAGCAAATTACTCTTCACCTTAACTGTTCAGTACTTCAAAGGGGAGGAATCTATAGGTGAAAGATCGACATGTATCGTCATGGGTTTTATTTATTTATTGGTTTCCATGATGATACTGATAGTAGATGAAAACACCCTAGAAGTCGGACTGGAGGATGCTTATGACAGTTTTAATAAAAGTGCATCTTCATTTTTGGAACAGCAAGGGCTTGCATCAAGGTAACTTCAAATTTTAAGATTGTAGTAATTCGTACATTGTTTTCAATTTATATTCATTTGTCTAACTTTGATAAGGTTATTTAGAGCTATCACATGAGTTTGTCTGCTTTTGCTCTTAATTGGGGCTATCAACAATAACTATTATAAATAAGTCAATGTCAGAAGAATCATAAAATGAGGATCTGGAAGTAGTTTTTTTGTATTTCAATATGGTCGTAATTCGTAATATAGTGTGTATGTAGTATGTTTGGTTTTTGAGGACATATATTGACAATCTCACTGTGAATTATTATTTAGATTATTAAATTATTATTGTATTGATTTTTTAGTGGACCTGCTTCAAAAATAGTTCTAAAATTCTTTATAGCTGTTTGGTGTGGAATTTCAGGTGCCCTTTTTACTTTCCCTGGACTCAGGCTCGCTAAAATGCACTGGGAGCTTCTTAAGTAAGAATAAAATATTCTCAAAAGATCATTTAATTAATATTCAAACTTACTTTTTAGGTATTTTCAAGAAAACAAAGTTAAGCAGTTGTTACTCAATTTGTCATTTTCATTGCCATTTATTTTATTGATTTTTTGGATAAAACCCGTATCGAGGGATTATTTCACAGGGAGAGAAGAACCTATGTAAGTATTTGTATAATAAAATATCTCCTAATATAATTTTGAATCAAGGGAAAGTTCTTTAATTGCGACTTCCATTATCGAAATCCCCATGTAGTTCATTTTACCTTTTTTCCAGAATGACTGAGTCTACTTTTGAATCTATAAGATTGGTAGTGGTCGTGGCAACCATGATCCTCAAACTGATATTAATGCCTTGGTATTTACAGGCGTACCTAGACATGGCCTACCATAGATTGGAAAATCAGAAAAAAGAGGCCGGAAGAATCACAAATACAGAATTACAACAACAGGTATATTTCAATTTAGATTAAAATGATGGACCGTCATGAATTTTGCAGTCATATTTCTTTTTGAAATAATATGAGAGTTTTAATACAATATTCTTTTATCTTTTCAGATTGCAGCAGTATTTTACTACCTTTGTGTAGTAACGCTTCAATATGTAGCGCCCCTAGTTCTGTGTTATTTTTTCACTCTCATGTATAAAACTTTAGGAGAATATAATTGGAGTGGAGAACTTCTGAACCAACATTTAGTTAGTAATGGTACAGAATTGAATAGCGAAACTTTGAAGCCAAATATCGAGATCTTTGAATCGACTGAAGACACCAAAAGTATCAGCGAGTCAGCTGCGGAATTCCACCTGACTTTGGAGAGTTTAAAATCGGTAAACGATTGTTTTCTTCTTCCTAAATAATAATTTAAATCTATCATTTTAAAAAGAACGAACAAAGTTTGTAACAGAATCAGAAAAAGCTAGATACTTAAGAGTAATCCTGTAAAATTAGGATACTTAATTTATTATTATCATCAATTACATCAGCAAGAACTGTTCCTGGTGAAAGTCAGACTTTTAGTGGACAATAAATTAAATTTAGTTTACTGATTTGAAACTCCATAATTCCCTTTAATATTTTTGATAGGACTGGTAAAATACACTAAGATCTTAAAATACTCATTTTAGAAGCCGTTTTGATATTAAGGATGGTTATTAGCTTTGTAAACTTGCAGTTTCAAGGGTGGAAAGTAAGATGATATAATACACTGATTAATGATATTAGTAATGAGTATTATAAAACGACAAAACAGCAGTAATAAATGTTTAATATTAGAAGTAATATCTTCTGTAATCATTTCAAACTTGAAGTTATTATTAATATTATTTTTACCATTTAAGGCATAAAAATGTATTATTTCGTTCTTTGTATCTTTATTTAGCAACTTATCAAAATATTTATTTAAATTATCAACATCAAATATTGTTTTTATGATTTTCACATTTAATGTAGTTACTTTTTTTAGGTGTTTACAAAGACTGTATATAGAGGATTATTTGGATTCGCTTCATGGTGGTGTCTGTTTTTGTATTTCGCCACCACGTCTTTTGGACTGGTTTACCAAACGTATTTTTCGACATCATAATTTTTTTATACAAATAGGTATTAACGTGTTTGTTATCAATAAATGTTTTTAAAAAGAAACAAGTAGTTTTTTAATCCTCTATGTCTAGGCCAGACTAAAATCAGGAGAATCTAATTGATTTTAAAAATCACCAGTATAAAATAAAATCATACTATAACTTTTCGCTTGAAGAATTTTCTTCTCCAAGCGATAATAACAAATTCTATAAAGTAGAAAAATGTCCCCATATAAAGTACCCGTAGATGTTCCGATTATGCCCAAAATCTAATCAGCTCACTGCAGCTGTTAGCCTATGTATTGGATATACTAGGTTTATATTTCTCAATATATAAGCATTCGTTGGTTCAAAATTTGAAAAAAAAAACCTCTATTTTTAAATAAAAAAATTAAGCATTCCTGGATGTATATGCCTATCACAGTTAAGATTTTATTTTCTCTAAATTTACTTCTTCCCGACTCTCATATTCAAACTGAGCATAATCCGCATTATTCTTTTTTGCACTAAAAACCCTTTCAATTGAATCACCATAGAATGTCTATCTATAGTATCCTTATCTAATTCTGGATTCAAAATTTGCAAAGTACACCATTTTTAAACTATCACATTCCAAATATTTCTTCACAACTCATGCTGAAACAGATCTGGCTCAGTTTTGTACATACAAACTCAACATGGCTTTCCCAACACTGAAAACTATCAATATATAGCCCCATAAACTTGGTACTAATTGAGACCTTAAATATACAGTTGTTTAGTTATGACATTTCATCTCTTTTGTAATTGGTTTTATTAAGTACCACATTTGTTTTGCTCTCATTGAGTAGGTATTAATTAATTTATTTATTTCAAACCATTTTTTAGTTATCTCTCTGCATTTAGGGTTAATTCCATCATATTAGATATATTCGTGTCGTCTGCATAATTGGTTAGCACACAGTTGTCATTAGCAACAGAGACAACATTAGCAACCATACCGCTGTTAAGTTCATTCACATAAATAAAACAACGGACCTACTATACTTCCCTGAGGTATTCCTTGGATGATATTTCTACAGATCTACCTTTTATTACTTTTATATATTTTGACATCCTGTTTCCTATCCTTAAGATATGATTTGTACCACCCTAATTCCAGCTTGTCCAGCACTATCCCATGGTCTAGCTAGACAATCGTAGGCTTTGGACAAGTCCAAGAATAGGCCAAAAGCCAGCCTACCTTTCTCCAGATCCTCTAGAACATGCTGAATAAACTCGAAAATATCTTCATCTCAAATATGTTTCTAAAATAGGCCATGACAGATGATACGTTTGTGGATCAAATTTCCACAGAGTGTCTTAACTTTCCGACCCATACACCATATATTATAATACATCAATGCTGGTACACAGAGGGTGCCCAAGCAGTATATATTATTTGAAATCATTTTAAATTCGTGTAGGTATTACAAAAAGTATTTGAGATATCAATGTCCGGTTTTTACTAAGACATCTTTAAAATGTCTGTTTTTTGTGCTGGAGCTTTCGGTTACACCTGTAATATATGATCTTTTCAGTTATAGGGCAACTTTGTTATTTCATATGGACCGCCATGTATATTTTTATAATTGTTCAAAAGCTTATAATATTGCCCTTTCTGCAAGTAGCATTTGCAACAGTTTTTTATATTTTTTATAGAAATTATGGTGGTTATAGGGGCTAGTGAAAACCGTACATTGATATTTAAAAATATACACATAAACACACTTTTAAAATGGGTTCAAAAAATATATTTGACTATTCTGCATCATTTTACAACTGTATCATACAAATTATAGATACCTAGTTTATTTTATAATATATATGCGTGTGGGTGGGGTTTTCATCACCTGTAAGTCAAATAAGGCATTATCAATCATCTAAGTTGCCCCGGAGTGTCACGGCAAATAATAATTCATTTTTTTTTAATTTTTAATAATTTTTATTAATTTATATTAATTTTATTAATTTATATTAATTTTATTAATTTATATTAATTTTATTAATTTTTATTGATTTTTATTAATTTTCATTAAGTTTTAATAATTTTTATTAATTTTTATTAATTTTTAATAATTTTTATTAATTTATATTAATTTTATTAATTTTTATTAATTTTCATTAAGTTTTAATAATTTTTATTAATTTTTAATAATTTTTATTAATTTTTATTAATTTTTATTAATTTTTATTAATTTTTATTAATTTTTATTAATTTTTATTAATTTTATTAATTTTTATTAATTTTATTAATTTTTATTAATTTTTATTAAGTTTTAATACTTTTTATTAATTTTTAATAATTTTTTTTTTTAAATTTTAGTTTATTTTTATGATACTACCATACAAAAATCTAAAAACCATAGAGCACGTCATTATTTATGCTACAATTATAATTTACAAGTTCCAACGTTCTTTTTTTTTTTTTTTTTTTTTTTTTTTTTTTTTTTTTTTTTTTTTTTTATTAGCGGAAATCTTAAGTGTTTTACATTTTCTAGGACATATTGTTTTCCTATTTCCCTGCTATAGGAGTTATCCTCCTTTTCAGGGTGGTCTGCCCTGATTACAAAAGTAACCTAGCTAGCTAATTCCTAATTTTGTGCGCGTGTGTGTGGGACCTGTGTGGCAGGTTTGTTCCCCAAGAATATCGCCAATTTTGCTATTTCCAACCTCATAATTGGACAGGTCCATGTATGAGGTGGGGAATATGATTTAGGAAAACCACAAAACCTAAACCACGATATTGTACATGTGTTTTGATTTTCTAATTAAGTAATTGGGAAGGTTTATCTTATACTCAGCGGGGCTGATTCCAGCAGATCCTGGAGTTCAGCGGTGAGGGGGAGGTCTTGGGCGTCTGTGAGGAGTTTTAGATTCGGCTGTGGCAATTTTCTTTTCGGTCTTCGAAAGAGGGGGAGTTGGTTGGGTCGCCAAGGGGTGCGAAGTGTGTTTTGGGAGTGTGTGTTTGTGCCTTTCAGCGTGCGAGAGACGTATTGTTTCCTGAGGGACTGGAAACGTGTGAGGATGGGGGTGTTGGGGGTGTTTAAAAAGACTTCTCCGCTGGGGGAGCGATAGGGGAGGTATTGGCATCGTCTGAGGATACGTCTCTCGAGTGTGGTGAGTTTGTGGGACAGGTGTGTGGGAAGTACACCGTAGGGTATAGCTCTGTATTCGGCAACGTTCAAAAAATTTATATTTCTATACAAATTTTCACCCCCGTTTTCCCCCCTTAAAATGTGAAAATCCAGATACCATATGAATCAAATCATTTTTGATTTTTAGTCAGTAGCTGTAATTCAAATTTTTTTGTTTCAAACTTTAAATAACAAAAAAATATATACATACTATAAACAAATTTTTACCCTCCATTTCCCCCCTCAAAATGTTGAAATGCAAAAACCCTGAAACACTTCATTATTTATTTATGATGAGAATCTACAATTCCAATTTTCAAGTTTCTACCTTTAAAAAGTCGATATTTCCAATTAAACTTTCACCCCCCGTTTCCCACTCCCCTTAAAATATGAAAATTCAAAAACTCTAAAATACGCCATTATTAATTTGTACTCATTAGCTGCAATTCTAATTTTCATGTTTCTAACTTCAAAGAGAACAAAAAAATATATACTTCCATACAAACTTTCACACCCCGCGCGTTTGCCCCCCTCAAGATGTAAAAATATAAAAGCCCTAAAACACATTATTATTAATTTGTTCTCAGTAGCTGCAAATCCAATTTTCATGTTGTTAACTTTAAAGAGAACCAAAAACATGGATACTCCCAAATAAATTTTCACTCCCCATTTGCCCCCTTAAAATGTGAAAATCCAAAAACCCTGAAACACGTCAATAATAATTTATAGTCAGTAGCTGCAATTCCAATTTTCATGTTTCTAACTTCATAGGAGAACAAAAAAAGTCGATATATAGTCCCATACAAACTTTCACCCCCCGTATTCCCCCCTTAAAATGTGAAAAATTAGTAGCTGTATTTTAAATTTTCATGTTTCTAAATTTAGAGAACATAGAGTTTTATTAAAAGCTCCCTCCTCTCATTTCCTCCCATTTCCCTCCTTTAAAGTTAAAATTTCCAAAAATCATTTCTTAGCGGATGCTTAACGTTATAAAATAAACCTATATTCCAAATTTCAGCTTTCTAGACTCAGTAGTTTTGGTTGTACGCTGATAGATCAGTCAGTCAGTCAATCAATAAATCAGTCAGTCAGTCAGTCAGTCAGTCAGTCAGTCAGTCAGTCAGTCAGTCAGTCAGTCAGTCAGTCAGTCAGTCAGTCAGTCAGTCAGTCAGTCAGTCAGTCAGTCAGTCAGTCAGTCAGTCAGTCAGTCAGTCAGTCAGTCAGTCAATCAGTCAGTCAGGACAAACAATTTTATATATACATATAGATTACAAAAAAAAACTAATATAAATATTACAACATAAAGTTGAAATTAAAATAATACCAATAACCTGTTTTTCGTTTAAAATATTACAATAAAATTAACGATAAAACACATTTCAGATTTTTAACCAACTTCAAAAAAGGAGGAGGTTATCAATTCGTCGCGATATTTTTTATTGATTATCTTTTATCTAATGTTAAAACGAACAATATGGCTAGCATTGAAATTTAAAAAATATATTTTAAAAATAACATCTCTCCTTGAACAAGTCAATTCATTGGCAACCAGCAATACACACACAATGATTATTTTAATGTTTTAAAAATATTCACCAATTAATCAAAACGTTAAAAATAGGTAATTGCAACTTTTTTTGAATATTTGCAGTCCATTATATTCTTCTTTTCATGACTTCCCTATTCCTCTTCAGATATTTACATGCGTCATTTTATCATTATCTTTTTTTTTCTTCAGATGATTCAGATTTCAGATAGTGTATGACTTTCATTGAATCATCCTTATAAAGAACTGGAAGTAACCTTAATTTTTAATTTCCTTGCGGAAATTAACTTGAGAAAGTAATTTTTATTGATTTAATATTATAAAAAATAATTTTTTAACAATATAGGTACCTAATTGAAAATTTTGGTTATTCTAAAATGCCGTCGGCGTCCAAAGTTTCCCGCCACGAAGCACATGGTATGCCGCCAAAACCGTTTTCGCAATCCAATCCTAGTTTATTAAAAACAAACTCCTACAACTACTGGAAAAATTATAACAATTAATAAATTTCATCGCAGAATAATTTTGATGTTGCAATTTTTTAGTATTTCTTGAAACAATAATCCGGAAGTTCTACGATTTTTCCAGACATTACTTATCGACCAATGGCAAGCCACGTACTCGGTCGATATCTCGTATTTGATTGGTCCATTTGCCGTGTTCTAGAATATTCTTTGACCTCGTATATAACCGGCCATTGCTTCATTTCGTTCGATTTGATTGCAGTCATTCCAGTAGTATACACGTAATTTAAGTATTTATAAAAGTATTGTCTGCAACTATTTTAATATAAGGTAAGTTTGTTCAATTTTTAATATATTTTATTAATATTTTGTTTATGTAACTGTGAAAATCGTGGACTTCAATATTGACAAGAAATTCAGAATTTGAGTCAATTGAAAGTGAGGCCACATTTTTACAAATATTGGAATTTCCGTTAAAAAACGGTATTGCTGATTGATTTTGTGTAATTCAACTTGTAATTATTCTAAAGTAAGTTCTAGAATTAATTTAAGGTATAGTTTTTGGTGATACTAGAGCATTTTAATATAAGTAGGTGGGGCACGTGTTTTATGTTCGATTGCTTACAGTGAAAAATTCATTGATTTTTTTTATTACTGTGGGATAACACTCATTTTTATTTAAATAGTTATAATTTGGAAATATTTTGAATATTAAATTCTAGAAGATAGGTATCACGTCATTGGAAATTTCCAGAAGGTAGATACAGTGTATATCCTCTATGATAATTATAATTTTATTCCGATGTTAGGCAGTTCTCAAGGTTATTTGTGGTTGATAATTTTATTTGCTTTGCGTGTAGAAGTTTTTCGGTAAGTCCAAAGTACATAATTGAGCTATTATTTAAAGTTTTAATCACAAAAGTGATTACCTTTTGAATTGAATGAGTAATTGGAAATTTTTAGGCAAAATTTTTATACTACTTTGGTCTAAGTCAGCATTTCTTAAACAATATTCGAAAGAATTGCCATTTTAGTTACAAATAATCAATTTACAGAATGTTGTAATATCGAAAATGTAGTATTGAAAGAGACCAAGGATTCCATGATAAAAGAACATTAAAAAAGGGTTCCTATTAAAAAGATTCGAACGAACGGCTGGTCTAAGTGAATGCTTCAATTTAACCCTCCATTCCCACACTTTCCAGAATTACCTCAACCATAAACGCATGTAGTGGTGGGAACTAACTGAATTTTCAACAGTGGTATTACTTCCAAACTTGAAGATAAAGAAATGCCATTTGTACAAAACCCGCATATCATACTCTTTGTGTGTGTAGGGAGGGTTAAAAAAGAAAATGTTATAGGTATTTTTGCCTGAACATTCATAATTACACAATTCAAACCTAACTTTATAGCTGCATTCAGTGAGTGTATCCGATTCTTGCTGCTATTGGGATAGCAGGATTAGCTTGCTGAACTATAAGCTCAAATTGCAAAAATTAAATTTGTGTCAAACGATAATTCTAATTTATTGAAATGTAGCATTTGCAATTGAAAGTTTTAAGTGTTTTTTTACAACCAGGTTATAATATAATATAAATAAATAATATTCATGCAATCACAAATAGTGATAGGTTTCAGGCATTTTGGTTCTTTTTATGAACTTTCCCTCTCAAAATGATAGGGATCGATACAAAGCTATATGTAGAACAGAAGTGATTAGAATCCCTGTCTCATTGAATGCAACTTACATTTCTTAATAAAACTTATTCAGATTGTCTTTATGCTGGTGACAAGTGCATTTTTTTATATCTAACAGCCGAGTTAAAACATTTGCTACCAATTTGTTCATAAGTTCTTTTGCAGTAAGCCAAATGTTTGTTTAAATAGCAATACAAGGCCTATTACATGCTTTTTAAAAGCAGCCCCCCCAACATTCTCTAATATTTCCATGTTGATGACAAATTTTCAGTCTCAACTCCAAATACCTAACTTTTTTTCTTGGATATTACACATTCTTTTTTCTTATCTGTTTGGTATTTTAAGGGTCAAAACATTGAGGAATTTATTAATGAATGTATTGTTATTTTTTATCATTCAAATTTTTCCATTAAATACTCTTCTTCATTTAGGCTTGTATTTATAAACAGAACTTACATGAGTAAATCGTCCTTGAACTAAAATCAAAGTTCGGTTACAACGTCTCTAAAGTTCTAGGTGGTTCTGGTGTTAAACTGGAATTTAGAGATGGATATTAGCAAATCTGTAACTGTTATGTACATTTACGGATTTGTTACTACCCATCTCTAAATTAACACGATATAACCGAACTTCGATTTTCGTTCAAGGACACGACTTATCCAAGTCGGACTCAGCTGAGTTTTGTTTATAAATACGGGCCTTAAGTAAACATAAGCCAACATGGACTCACTTGTAAAAGTGATGTAATGGCCATGTGAGTCCGACCTTGACTTGTATGATAGTTTATCAGAAAATGTTGTGTAACTCTTATGTCAGCTTCTTGATTCCATAGGAGTGTTTTGGGATTGATAAAAAAAGTGATCAGCCCATGGGGATGTTAAAATCTTCACTATTGTGGCCCTTGACCTGTTAAAGCAATTCAATTCAGGCATTTTTGTTAACCTTATCTTGGGTCTCTTTTGCTTAGTTAACAAAATCTTTTTTATTTTTTCAGATGGCCACTAAAGCTCCAGCTGTAGGTATTGATTTAGGTACAACCTATTCATGTGTAGGTGTATTCCAACATGGAAAAGTAGAAATTATTGCTAATGACCAAGGTAACAGGACCACGCCATCATATGTGGCCTTCACAGACACAGAACGTCTCATCGGAGATGCCGCCAAGAACCAGGTGGCTATGAACCCCAATAACACAATTTTTGGTAAGTTTTAAATATGTATATTTCTCAGAGTTCAAAACATGCTCTTAAATATGCATTCCATTTTCATAGCAATTTTTAAAAGACTTCAAAAAAAAGGAGGATGTTTTCAATTCATCAGAATATATATTTTTTTATGTACAGCGATAATTCTTTACTATGTTGTCATATTTCTATGATTTTTTTTAGAAAGAGGGTACCTCAGGGGTGGTCCCATATAAATTTGGTTAATATCTAATGGGGTACATAAGAAAATATCAAATAAGTATTTTTAGTGATAATTCTTTACCGCGTACGATTTCAGATTTTTTTTTTTTTGTTAGGCTACCTCAGGGGTACTTCCCCACATACAATTGGTAAAGATCTGATGATCTATGAGAAAATTAAAATCGCAATTTTAAGTGCATCTGCATTTTTGTTACTGTATTGCAGAGTTATAACTTAATTATTTCTGAGTTGACATGGTTTGATGATTTTTGACATATTAACACATTTTTATGACTGGAATTTGAAAGTAAAATCAAAACTAAAAGCAGCTATTAAAAAGGTAGCTTAAATTATTCATTATTCTTTTTTTAAAAATCTTGATCATAAAATATAACAAATGTTTATAGTTTTTGATTAATTCACTTTTGTTTTTCAACTAATTATTCAAATTTAATGAGAAACAGATACCTATTGACACTTTAGAATTCATTAAATTTGATAGGTTATTTTTTTTAGTTTGTCTCTCACATCATGTTGAATGTTTTCTTAAACTTTTGATATTTCATGCTTCATTTTATTACTCATTTTTCCCATGATTTACATGTATTGCCAATTCAATGTTTTCAGAATATTATTTGTTCCTTTTTTTTTTTTTAATATAAAATTTGAAATAATTGTTTTACATTGCAAACAATATTAAATACATTTAAAAAATGTTGTTTTTTATATTAAAATGTTAACAAAATTTTGCAAAATTATACACACGAGGTATTTTTAAAGTAAAAAATTTCTTGATTTTCTGTGAAATGTTATTATTAACAAATTCTCTTTGTGACATTATATAATAGGGATGACAGGTTAAAAGTTGTCGATCTTACTGATGTGGAATGTTTTATAAAATTAATTGGACTATTTAAAAAAAATAACTGCAAATAAATCAGTGTATTTCGTGAAATTATAAAAGTACACTTCTTTGGTAAAAATAAACAGAATAACTAATGCTAATGTAAACATAATTAAAAACTAGGTGTTTTTTCTTCTTCTACCAGCTCCAGTTCCAACTCTAGTTCGTTGTCCAATGTCCAATTGAATTCCTTTAAAAAATATATTAATAAATTTTAGATTACTAATTTGGATGTATTAATAAATATTTTTCAACTTTCAAAAGTTAAAGATTGTGATATACATACAAACACCACTACATGATCTGCAAATAATTAATGAAGCTCTTGTTATTCTAAAAGATTTTATTTACTTATTCAGTAATGTGAAAGATTGGGCATTTAGACTTCCAGAAATGATTAGTTCTCTTATCAATATACATTCACTTTCTTTACTTAATAAATTATTGAAAATTAAATCACTTGTACATGATGATACCAAAATAAGCTTGCCAGACTAGAGTTTATGATCTAAATCTATGATTAGCTTATCATCTGAAACGCCGCGTCACCATCAAATAATTAACATTCACCTAATCATTAACAACGACGTTTCTAACGACCAATTTTCCCCGTTCAGATGCCAAACGTCTTATTGGGCGTCGTTTCGATGACAGCGCCGTACAGTCCGACATGAAACATTGGCCCTTCGAAGTCCTCAACGATAGCGGCAAACCTAAAATCAAGGTCGCTTACAAGGGCGAAGACAAATGCTTCTACCCAGAAGAAGTCAGTTCTATGGTGTTGACAAAAATGAAGGAGACTGCTGAGGCGTACCTAGGAAAGAATGTTACCAATGCCGTTATCACAGTACCTGCTTATTTCAATGACTCTCAACGTCAAGCCACCAAAGATGCCGGTACCATTGCCGGTTTACAGGTAAATAAAATACCTAAATGTGATGCGACTTGTATACAAATATAAAGACTCCCCAAATTCCAAGTCTCAATAAAATTTATGTAAAAGTGGGTAGTGTGGTAAGGTCATCAAGCTTGAAATAAATAAATGGGGTTTCTTTGTATTTGTAGTTGATATAAATCTTGCTTATTTCGTCATTTTCCAGAAACAAGAATAAAATTTCTATCCTAAATAGTATCAGTTTATTTAAATGGTTATTGTGATTGCTTTATGATGAATAAGAGATAGGAAAGCATTGCTTGAATAGCCTCTATTCTAGTCTATTTGAAGAACATTCTCAGAAATGTAATAAAATTTTATAATAATAATAATAATAATAGCCTTTATTGCCCAACATATAAATCTCTTTACAGAACAACCTAATAAATTATTAACACTATAAGTAGCAAAGGTGACATGATAAATAAAGAATTATAAAATGAAAAGTATCATATAAAAAATGAAAATAAAAAAATCAATTAAAAAAAAATAGAATAAAAAACTCAAGCATTGTCATAATAGTTACAAGCAATTGCTTTAATACTTATCAAACTATGTTTGAAGATATCCGAAGAATTACAGTACAGGTTAAAGTTATTACACATGACATTGAGAGGTGAGCTTAATAGAATATTTGTTCTAGATCTATTACAGTAAAAAGTTAAGTGAGGTCTGTTATTATACTGTGGAACATTTAAATGAATTATAGGTAAATCGTAGGATATGCAAATTTATTTTATATCAATGGTCTAATTCTAATACCCCGTAACATTTTACAGGAGTAGCTTTTTTAGTTTAATAGTTCTTTGATTGCAATAAGGGTCAGAGTAGTCAATTTTCTCATGTAAATATTGTCCAAAGTCAATACAGTGTATTTTTACTAATGACAGAGCAAATATACAACTGAATGGCGCAAAAAATACTTCGATATTTTTTAGTGTAGTTCATTTGATTTGAATTAGGCTAAAGACACACACACACAGCTGTTTTCGCCGAGTCGGCCGCCGCCTCGGCGGATGCTGTAATGTAAATAAATGAAGTTGTTCACACTATACTGCACTGCGAGAAAGCGACGCTACACTGCCGCGCGTACCGTCGTTCGACTAAAATGCATTACTTTTTTGTGAACCGCTTCGTGTGTTTTGGCAGAGGCGGGCAGTGCCGAGTCGGCGGAAACAGCCGTGTGTGTCTTTAGCCTTAAACTGTAGTATTAATTTAAAAAACTAGTTGAAAAAGAAAAATTTGCTTGTATATTGTATTTATTTTCTAGATACAAATTATATATAATTGGTGATCCTTAAGTATATTTATTTTACAAAAATTATAATAAATTGTTTATGGTTTATGTCTTTAGAGGGCAATACTTTTTTATTACATTTCTGAGAATTTACTCTCCCTGTTTTTCTAAGGAAGTATAAAACGTGTTTTTTATTATAAAAAGCTGGCATAAAAAAATCGTATACCTTTTTAATTTTTTTACCATTTCTAGCTAATTTTTTATTTTTTTTATTTTTTAACTTCCCACTTTAACATGTTGATGGACAGTACCTATAGACGTGCAAATTAGCACATAACGCCATACAGCGTCAAATATTTAATCTACCTTTGTGAAACGACGTCTATCGGCGTTACGATATTCATATGAAATAGTGAGTGCTTTCTTTTGTGATCTAAATTACTCGCAAGCATTACTGGAGCTGTTCCAGACTCTTAAATGAATGTTCTTAGCCGTGCTTGTTGATCTGGACAACTCCCACCAGTTAGGTCTCCCTTCTCAAACACTTGCTTGATAGTGAATGCACAGAATTCGTGTCTTGTCAATTATAGACCGTTGTCAGTCGTATTTTTTTGATGTCGTGGGGTTTCATACACCAAGAACTTGAACCCTTAAGAAGAATGCTCCCAGTAGTGGTCCGAGACCAACTGTCACAATATGTTCAAGCAAGAAAGCTTTACTCTCGAGTTTGCACTTCGATTATTTGTCTTGTGTTTTTGTATGGTATTATAGAGGGTATTAAAGATATTGTAATGTGACGGAGCGTCGATCGGCGTAAATAAAATTACTAATATGTCCAATGTATTTTTATTTTCACATATTTAGGGAACCTTTATAATCAAGAGATAATCAATTAAAATATTTTTAAAATAAAATTTACTGTCATAGCACGAACTTTTTCCACGTCAGGTTGTGTCCATCACTGTGTTAAATAATTTTTGAAATAATTGCATCGTTTTTAATTAGTACATGATGATACCAAAATAAGCTTGCCAGACTAGAGTTTATGATCTAAATCTATGATTAGCTTATCATCTGAAATTTCAATGTTAACATTATCGTAAACATCTAGTCATTTTTAGAGGCGTAATTCTGAAATTTTCGTTTTATTTTTACAGGTATTACGTATCATCAACGAACCCACTGCCGCTGCCATTGCTTACGGTTTAGATAAAAAAGGACAGGGCGAAAGAAACGTTCTCATTTTCGATTTGGGTGGTGGTACCTTTGATGTGTCGATCTTGACCATCGAAGATGGTATCTTTGAAGTCAAATCCACCGCCGGAGACACTCATTTGGGAGGTAAGTTCAAATTAAATAATCTCGCTCTTGAATTTACAACTTGTGGATGTTTTATTTCCGGTATCTATTAACATTTGAATTTTCGTCCAGGTGAGGACTTTGACAACAGAATGGTCAACCACTTTGTCCAAGAATTCAAACGTAAATACAAAAAAGACCTTACATCCAACAAACGTGCCCTCCGTCGTTTAAGAACCAGTTGTGAAAGGGCGAAACGTACCCTCTCTTCATCCACACAAGCCAGCATTGAAATCGATTCTCTGTTCGAGGGTATTGATTTCTACACGTCTATCACCAGGGCCAGATTCGAAGAATTGAACGCCGATCTGTTCAGGTCCACCATGGAGCCCGTCGAAAAAGCCATCAGAGACGCCAAGATGGACAAGTCTCAAGTCCACGATATCGTATTGGTCGGAGGTTCTACTCGTATTCCAAAGGTAATACATTTTCCACTGCATTTCATGGTTTGATTTGTTTACATTTTGGTACACAAGAATAGTGACAGAACTCAAAAATGAAATATTTTTGAGGACATCTATTTTAAAGTTTTTTGTTTCCTGTTGAGGTTTCTTGATTAATATTCTGTTTAAATTTGTTGTATTCTTCAAATAACAAATTTGCTTTGATAACATTAATAACTCTACAATATATTTTTTACATCCTTCTTTTGAGTTATTATGTTCTTCCAGAAAAGTGTATTTCACACCTTATTGATAATGAATTACCTTTTCAACAATTTCCTAATTTTACTTGTGTCGCTGTTGAGAAAAATGTTATTACATAATTTTTAATAAAACTGGCATGTTTTGATTTATGTCACTATATCCGAAAATGTATATTATTTCATTGACTGAGCACAACTAGATTTGTGTCGCATTTTTTTTTTTTTTAATTCAATATGTAATTGTACTGTTTCATTGGATATTTACGTATTGTAGAAGTATTTTATCAATTAGTTTTTTTTTACGGGAAGAAAGACGCATCTGCTTTCCCTCTATCAAAGTAGCAATATGTCATTCTTACACATAAAAATATGCGTATTTTACTATACATTCAAAGGATAGTCACAAATGAACATTTTTGAGTTCACTATTTTTGTGCACCAACGAAATTTCTTTACATTGGGCAAACTGGAATAAATGCAGCCATTGAAATTAAAAAGCATGTTTTGTTTTAGGTACAAAAACTATTGCAAGACTTCTTCAACGGTAAAGAACTGAACAAATCCATCAACCCCGATGAAGCCGTCGCTTACGGTGCAGCCGTCCAGGCCGCCATCTTGCACGGTGACAAATCAGAAGAAGTACAAGATTTGTTGTTGCTTGATGTCACTCCATTGTCTTTGGGTATCGAAACTGCCGGAGGTGTCATGACAGCTCTCATCAAGAGGAACACCACCATTCCCACTAAACAAACCCAAACTTTCACCACTTACTCTGACAATCAACCTGGCGTACTCATTCAAGTCTATGAAGGTGAACGTGCTATGACGAAGGACAACAATCTGTTGGGTAAATTCGAACTTACCGGCATCCCACCAGCGCCCCGAGGCGTTCCACAGATCGAAGTCACCTTCGATATCGATGCCAATGGTATTTTGAACGTCACTGCCATCGAAAAGTCTACAAACAAAGAGAACAAGATCACCATCACCAACGACAAGGGTCGGCTCAGCAAAGAAGACATTGAAAGGATGGTCAACGACGCCGAAAAATACAGGAACGAGGATGAGAAACAGAAGCAGACCATCTCTGCCAAGAACTTGCTGGAGAGCTACTGCTTTAACATTAAGAGCACCATGGAGGATGATAAGATCAAGGACAAGATCAGTGAGAGTGACAAGACCACTGTCATGGAGAAATGCAATGAGGTGAGTAAATCTTGCTGAGTTTTGTCTTCAAATTGATTGATTGTACTTGCATCTTTGAGACCTAACTCAAATATATGACTTATTTGCGAGAATACAGACTTTATTAAAAAATAAAAAAAAAGGTACACTATATAGAAACAGTGACACTTAAGTTTTAGCCTGTTAAATCAATCAATTATCTCGAATTGCGCCGGTATTCTCGCAAATGGCGCTGATGTACTTTAAAATAACCTTTTTTTATTTCAGGTAATTGCATGGTTGGATGCCAACCAATTGGCTGACAAAGAAGAATATGAGCACAAACAAAAGGAATTGGAGAACATCTGCAATCCAATCATCACCAAATTGTACCAGGGAGCCGGCGGTGCCGCAGGAGGCATGCCAGGCTTCCCTGGTGCTGGTGCCGCTCCCGGAGCGGGCGGTGCTGCCGGTGGTGGTGCAGGACCAACCATTGAAGAAGTTGATTAAATCTATCGAATATAATTTCCATTCCAGTGTTTTTTATATTGTTATTTTGTTTTTGCCAGTTTGCAGACAAAGCTTTCGAAATTATACTTTTTTTACCTAAATATTACTTTGATTTTAATTGTTTACGAATAAATGTTTGGAACAAAGTTAAAATTTACTGCAGTCGTGTTTTCGACAAATAAAAAGTCAAATCCACTTTGTTTGTTTTACTATTAATCCCGAAAAAAAATTCCTGAAAGCATAAATAGATATTTATTGATGTAAAATAAAAATGAATATTTTATATGTCAATAAAAAATACAGGTATAGATACAGAAAATACAGTTACGATTTAGAAAAATATAGATACACATATTAACATACTTACAAAAAGGTATATTCACCAAAAAGGTTGCACATTACTCGCTTTCTCAGATGGACATGTGATACGAATTCGTCAATGGAATAAAAGCAGTGGCTACAAAAATTTGCGAATTCTTTTTACACTATAGGCGAGTTCGGTCAGTCAGGGGCTGGAGCGGGACAAATTTTAGGGTGCTTTTAAATGACATTTAAGCGTGTTAAACTGTCACTAATCGGACTAAACCGAACGCTAAAAGAGTCGTTTGGAGTTAAAAGTGTTAAAGGAACGTGGCAAACCGAACGCAATGCATATATCAAATATCTGATTCTAAGATAAAAAGACCATAATGAAATCCCAGAAGATTTTGTTGGATTTAAAGATTGATAAATAGATATGTGATAATTCCTCATTGGAATAAAAGCAGTGACTTGAGAAAAATTTGCGAATTCTTATTTTAAATAAATTAGAAGAGTTTATAAGTAGGGAATTTTACAGTTTAATGCTAAAAGAATCGTGAAGTTTGGTTAATCTGTAATTAGGTAAAGATATATCATAATTTCCTCTGGTGCAATAAGAATTTCTATTTTGTCTTACAACACTATTATTACCAATTTGTTTTTTCATGTATAAAAGACTCCAAAATAAAATAACATGGTAGTGGTAAAATAACTGTTTAAAAATAGGTTGAACCGTATCGAACGCTCTCGTAAGATCATAAAATCCGGCAGTACTATGTGAACGATCCGCAAAACCATCCAAGTACGTCTTAAATCACCGAAACAACACTAAAACACCAGCTTTTTGCATTGCTTGAAAACCCCAAGCCATACCGGCCGAGTGATGACGAAAGGGTGAACAGCTCTGAAAATTGCAAGGCTTTAATAAAGCCGATAAGAAAGATTTACTAAAACTTTGCAAACCAGGTGCTACACACCCGATGAATTTCACCATTATTATCACAATTTACATGTATCCAATAATGTTAAAGACACGGTATCTAAACCCTAAACCTTCCATTAAAGATAGTGACTCAGACGTTGCATATATTATGCCTTGTATGTATACAGCTAAAATAAGCTAACTAATTTTAAATGGATGGCCTAGATCAGCCATACTCAACCTTTTTTTCCTTCGGGCCACATTCGTATATGTGCTATGTTACACGGGCCGCAATATTTTTGGTTTATGACCTTTTTTTTAGGACATCTATCTAAAATTAGTAGGGACCTCTAATAAATAAAACACAGAACATAAATATATCCCGTTGTTACTGCAAAAATATTTATTTAAGACCTTCCAAACTACATAAAATCATAAGTGTTTCATATGGTTGAACTCGTATTGAATAGGAGATTCCAATAATGACTTAATATACAGGGTAATCAATTTGAAAAACCAAAGTTACTAATAATATAAGAGAAACGGAAAATATGGCAACATTGCAAATATCAAATCTGGAATCTCCGTATCCCCTAATATGTTTACCCCAAATTTTGTACAATTAGGACTAGCAATTTACGAGATAATTGGCCGTTTCCAGACTTTTGGGCCACTCCGTATAATGTAGACCACTGGCTAAGGTATGGTGAACATCTCAAATAATTAATTTTATATGCAACCGTTTTAATTACCTGGTTAGCATGTACTTTAAAATGTAATTGACTATCAAATTATGCAGAGAAACAAATTTATTCTTATATTTAACTTCAAATTGTTACCAAACTCATACTTTTTACTATTTCCCAACAGCATCCACTTCATTTTACTCACATTAACCTTTAATAAATTCGCACAATACTCGTAAACCTCTTCCAAAGTGTCGTTTACGACATTCATATAATTGTGTAAACTATTGCAAGCAAAATCTATAAGGCCATCATCTGCAAATAGATGAAATTTACATTTACCCGCAGTGTTAATTATATCATTTATATAAATATAAAAAATCAATGGTCCCAAAACACTGCCTTGGGGAACACCAAGATTGTTTTCTATTTTATATATTCGGTTTAATTTTAGCTTCTGTTGTCAATTTGTTAAATAATCAATAATCCAGTTCAATGTCATCTCATCAATTACAACACCCCTAATTTTTGTTATTAGTCTTCCTCTATCAACTGTCTCGAAAGCTCTTTGCAGGTCCAGAAATACCCCTATAATAATGAAATTGTTTTCTATATTATTTTTCCAATCAAACAATACACCTTGTAAAGCAGTTTCAAAGGTATGCTTGCTCCTAAACCCAGATTGATATTCACAGACTCTAATCCCCTTCATACCTTCCTTAATAGTGCAATTAAATAACGAAAAAAGACCCTTCGAGCTTACATTAATTTGTAATTGGATGAAACAAAGTGGACCTTGTGTATTTTGATGTGATCTTTCCGAAAAAAAGAAGTAGCTGTTTTTCAATTTTTTTTAAATTAGGAAAAACCGGGTTTTCCGGAATTTTCCATGGTAAAAATGCTAATTATCTGGGCAAGTATCATTCTGATACTAAAAATAAATGCACCAATCGAAAGAGGAGGCAAAAATAGTTCGGAAATTCATTGCACAGGTAGTTTTAATGGCGAATTTCTCGCCGCCAGAAGTGCTTTTACCAAAAAGTTTTTTCGTTTCTTTAATCAGAACCATGAACATGAAATTTGCGATGAATTTGTGGCGAAATTATAAATGTTAGACATATGTGCCCACAAGAGAAGTTACGTATTTTTTTGTTGGTTCTCAAATAAAATAAGTCCCGCGGCGAAATCTGCCATAATTTTTAGGGAATTCGCAGGAAACCGGAAGGCGTAGTTTTTTTTTAAATTTTTTTCCCATATAATTTTCTCCGGGTTTTCCGAAAACATCTAACAAAAAATATATTTGAAAAACCTAACTGCGCCATTGGAAAGAGCACAAAAAAATACACAAAAAGGTATACTTTAAAAATTAATCCTAAGCCTGAGTGTAAGTTCCAACTTTGTGATAAGCTTGTTTTTTGTTCTCTAACATCTGGTTTTCTTCTCGGTTGATGCTCCATCCTCCTTTTTTTTGGCATTGTCAATCTCCGGCCCTTTTATGCCTATCCCAGGTTTTATAAATAAACTCTTTTCCGTAACGTCGAGCTACGTAATGTTTGCGACAACTCTCATGCAATATAAAACCTGGTTCTAAAGAACTGAAAAAATCATCCCCCCTCTCTTTGCTGACCGTCTGCAGACCTTTCAATCCTGTCGGTCTAATTGGGGTTAGTTCACCCTCTGCAAGTGTCTGACACAATAAACACAGGCCAGCCAATGCAACCTGGAAACATAAAAAATATAGCACTGTGATATAATTTTCTTAATTTAGGATCGTACTTACTCAATAAATTGCTGAAGAAGTCCGAAAAACCACGTGTACACAGAGCTGGCTGAACACGGTTATTAAAAATCTTTGCCGATGAACACTATCAAGCGATTCAATTTGTAATAATATGACCGTTTGAAGCTTAAACTTGTCGGATAGCGAACGCCGAGACCATGACTGTTTTGGATCCCGCGGAGCGCTTGTCGGGAGAATTCTACAACTTAGAAGAAACATTCACACTTTAAACTTTGTATACACATTCAGAAGACATGAAATTTGGGTTTGCTCAATTTTCAGACCAAAAAACTGAAAATCGTCAATTTTAGGCAACTTTTCTCTAAAACCGTGTTTTTTAGTCGTCACTCAGTGAACAGTGGTCAAAAAAATAGATAAAATATTTTTGCAGAATTTTCCGTAATGTAATCGTATTCTAGATACAATAAAGTACTAAAAAAAAAAAAAATTTGAGCCATTGGGTGCTTTTTTGTGCCAGTTCAAACTTTCGAGAAAAATTTTTTAGGGAAAATTTGTTTGTTTGATATCTTGGCCAGTTATAATCCGATTTCGGTGAAATTCACACACGTAAAAGATTTCATATTCAAGAGTAAGCTCTGTAAGTGGCATTAAAAAATTTAAATAGTTCGGCCGTTATAGGCAAACAATGAAATTAGGCCTGCGGTACACTTTGCCCTTCCGCAATATGCCCAATTTTGGGATTTCTCTTGCCCCCTTCTGGGAATCAATAGTCACATCCCTTAAGTTCAAAACGCATTTTTGTACAGACATGAAAATTAGCATTTTTCCTAAGCTTTCAAATGTCGTAAACTGCGTTTTGAAAATGTTGATTTATATCTGACATGAGCCTGCGCAAAGTTGAAAAATTGACAAAATCCAAAATTTCGGCACTTTCGAAAAACTGCTACATTTTGTTTTGCCATTTTTCGAAAAGATCACCTCAAAAAACATAGAATACATTTTGTTTCATCTAATTACAATTTAATGTAAGCTCAAAACTCGTAATTTAATTCAATTATAAACCAACAAAATATATTACTGTCACTATAGGTACTCTATTCAGTTTTCGTTTTGTACCGATTTTAAAGAAAAAATCAATTGGAAGGATTTTTTAATTTTGGACAAGAATTTTGAAATTTCAGCCACTGGGACGAATCAGGTAAAATAAAGATGAGACGCTTAATTATATTTGGATGTGAGAGCGATAAAGAGAGTAATTGGTTTAACCACGCCCGTTTGATGGTAAGCATGACGTATTGGGGGGCGCACTAAGCGAGGCATTCTATGTTCAACAGCATTGCGTTTCTATGCCGTTCTAGAGTCGGGATGGAAAAGTTAACATATTGTAATAATGATATGTCGAGTCGACATCTGTGCCGTCTAAAAGTCAGTGCTAAAGCAGACTGAGCAACTTTTGTCGAGTCGGCGGTTTCTGTCGAAACATGTATTATACCTTGTTCAACTCAACGTAAGATACATTTTCTGTGTTGAAAATTCCGCACCTCTATATTTTAACTGTTCAGATTAAGCCGAATCTTCGCCTGTTAAATCATTATTTCTTTAAAGGGCAAATGTTTTGACAGGCTGCTAGTTGCTTTCTGATGGTCACCCAAATTATATTACAATTCTGGGATAGGAAAAGAATAACGACTTGAGATAAAAAATATTTTAATAATACATCAATATATGTACATATAAAGCCAATAATTTACCGAATATAACACTTGGAAAGCGCATTTCATATATGGAATAACCCAGAGCATAAGATACAGTTAATTTACTTTTGTTCTGATTAATTTGTCGATTTGAAATTGGCACTTTCGTTAAATGTTCTATAAAAAGTGCTTTAAAAAGGCCGAAGCATATGGACACTGGAACTCCCTAATATTTAAAAAATAAATATTTAATACTTATATAAAATTTATCTGCACAACATCAAAACCAAACATTTATTAATTTCTATCAATTAAAGATAAAACATGATCACGATATTTGAACTATTTTTTCGTTAAAAAATGACAAGCGAATTAAACATTGGTTTTAGGCAATTTAGTTACCGTTTCTTAATACACCATTACTTTCGTTTAACAACTTGAGACACTTCTTCTCCAGCTCGAATAAATGTTCGTCGTGAACTTGAGGAAAGAACTTTCTCATGGATTTGGCCAAATTAAAAACATATTCCATGTTAGGACCGCTTGGTCCTGTGCTGTTGACTACCTGAGACAAAAAAGAAACAAACAATCTACCTATCCCAGTGTCCAGATTTCCCACTTCTATCTACTATATGACTCACCTGTGTTGCTATTTCATTCAAATCGGCGGGACCCCCATAATTAACGTTGTTGTGATCACCGAGGTAGATTGTAATGTCGAACGGTTGTTCATCTTTTGAAAGTGGATAAAATTTAAGGATTTTTTTTTCGTAGCCACCCTTTTCCCTATAATCTAAGTGATCGACGACGTCTTGTATTTCCTTTTCACGGATTTTATACGCCACTCCGTATACCTGTAATAATTAAAAAGACAATCGTTTGAAAGATGTAAGTTCTGATAAAAATTATGAGCCAGTTTGAATACTGAATTACGAGAAAGTTGTTCGTTTGAGTCTGTTACTTTTGAAATATTTAATCCATTTCAATATAACAAGCGAGAAATGAGTTGCGAGATTCGTATAAAAAGAAAAAATAACCAGAGAGGGATTGAAATCCTTGTTGAAGAAGTGAGCCATCGCTTACAATATCTATTTTTGCTTGTCCTGTTGTAACAACGTACATATAGATACATCAGAAAAGCTAGAGAAGTATTTCGACTTAATTTTTTGATTTCCTCACTTTCTGCTTTCTGTTATTTGAAGTAGAGCAGGGCTTCCTGTATGACTTCCTCATTGATCCTTAAATAACCTCTCTCATGGTCTCTTTTATAACTAAATCTGTGGTTGCATTTTGTTGGAATCATATATACTAGATTATTGTTGCCATAAACGTAAGCTAATTTTTAAAAGTACAAAAAATGTATGACCTGTTTGAACCCAAGCACTAGTCACTCCTAAAGGTCACTTTGAAACTCTGTGGATTCACAAACGATATCCTATAAATTCTGATACCAATTATAAGTGTTAAAAGTACACAAAACTAAATACAATAAACACCTAAGAGTTGTTTTGCTTCCATTTGAATATTGTATTCGTCAGTTCAAATTAAGAAGTCACTGTGAGCAGATTAATATTGTTCATATAAATTAGTGAATAAGTAAATGTGATATATAAATTAATATAGCATACAGTATAAATAAATTGGGATAGAAAATAAATTAGTGCATTTAGTGTAAATAAGTAAATTAAAATAAATAAAAGTTAAAATATAAATATTGAATATATAATTTCGTAAGTACTTTAAGATTGTTTTACTAAATTTGACAGGCAGTTTTAGTAGCCTAAGGGACAAAACTAAATTAATAAAAACCAGTGGCGTACGACACTGTCTAACCATTAGTGTGAAATGTTATTATGATTTTTTTTTAATGTATTTTTATGTACCTACTCTTGATGGAAACCCTGTTTTCTAATCATTAATGTGAATTTTTATTATTATTTCCTTTATTTAGCTAGTTTGCTAATATCACAATATACAAATTTAGTAAAAATATACATATACATATAAGTCAAAACAAAGAGAATTTAGATACAATTAAAACTAACTAAAATTCTAAAGGTTGTTTCTGGAGAAATATTAATCAATTAAGAAATCTGTCACTTTGACTTTAAATGTAGTTACGGACATTACTGATTTAATTTTCTCTGGAAGTGCGTTTTATTGATTTAGACCTTTAAAAAATAGTGAATTTTGTGTTGCACTCTTAACAACTGTTTCAATATAAAAGTTATTTCTGTTCCGCGTTGGATTGTGCACATTAGAGTGATAATTAAGCTTCTCTTTTAGGTACATTGGAAGTAACCCGTGTTTGATTTTATAAATAAAAATTAACGCATTCCGTAATAAGAGACTTTTGATTGGCATCCACCTCAAAGTTTCAAGCATTAGATTAATGGAAGTATATTTTGAACAGGATAATATTATTCGCATAGCCCTATTCTGTAGTTTCTGTAGTCGGTTCAACTCATTTTGATTTAGTAAAAAGAGTATTGTAGAGCAATAATTAAAGTGAGGTAGAATTATAGTATTATATATAATACATTTAGTCCACTGTGATAAGCCAAATGAACTTCTAAATAGGAAATTTAACTTAAATGCAATAGTTTTGATAACAGTGTTGGCATGATCTATGAATCTCATCTGCTTGTCAATCATTACCCCTAAGTATTTGAATTTTTCTACTAACTGTATAGAATTTCCTCCAATTGTTATGTTATATTGTTTATCAACAAACTGTGTATAGTTATAGTTGCTACTTATCAGCATACATTTTGTTTTATTTGTGCTAATTTTCAACAAATTATTGCAACACCATTTATAAACATGTTGCAGTGTTTCATTAACAACTCTTACCAAGTTATCTGAATCCTTACAAGAAAAATATATTAGGGCATCATTAGCAAACAGGTGAATGTCACATTGACCCTTGAAATCAACAATGTCATTGATACACACTAAAAATAAACAGGGGACCCAATATACTTATTCCCTGCGGAACAACTCTAATATAGTTAATTTCCTCTGACAAAATGTTATTTACTTTTAATTTTTGTTTCCTCTTACTTAGATAATCCACACACCACTCCAATGCTTGCTCTACTATACCCATACTTTTCAATTTTTTTTATCAAACGGTTTTGATCAACAGTCTCGAATGCTCTTTGAAGATCTATAAAAACTGCCAATGTTAGATAGTTTTTATCAAATTTATATTTCCAATCATATAAAACACACTGGATAGCTGATTCACAGTTTATGTTTGCTTCTGAAGTCCGATTGTATTCTAGTAATAAGTTTATTTTGTTCTAAAAAATTAACAATTTGTTCATAAACTTATCATACTAATAGGCCTTAAATCTGTAGCTTTATTTGCGTTTTTTGTCTTTGGAACAGGCACTACCATAGCAATTTTTAGAGCTTTAGGTATTTTTAAATTTCTAATGACAAATATATCAAATTTAAAAGTGGTTCTGAGAGGTTGGGAAAACAGTTTTTTAAAATATTAATGTTAATGTCATCTGTGCTTTTATTTTCAATTGCAAAAAGAATGTCTCTTAAAGAATCCAAGCATACATAGTTCAAATTTTCCAAGAAAATATCCATTGTGTCTGTCTAAAATTTGATAATCTGGTATTGTATGATCAATTATATTAGCAATCGATTGGATACTGTGTATGTAAAATTTATTAAGAGCATTTGGCATGTCAAAAATATTTTTTATAATAACATTATTTTCTAGTTCAAGTTCAATTAAGTTATTCGACTTATTATTTTCTGGAATCAGACATTCAAGATATTTCCACATTTCCATTAAATTTCCCCTACTTTCGTAAATATTTTTCTCTATGTGTTTACTTTTTACTTTCCTATCTGTATACAGATATAAGGAAAGTATAGGAATCATGATTTTTTTCGACCTCGAGTTTTCGACGGATTTTTACGTTTTGAGGTCCCCTGTCGCGATGATGTCTGTGTGTGTGTGTGTCTGTGTGTGTCTGTGTGTGTGTGTGTGTGTGTGTGTGTGTGTGTGTGTGTGTGTGTGTGTGTGTGTGTGTGTATAACGCATAACTCATGAACCGATACACAGAAAAACACCAAATTTTAAACTTAAGCTTTGTTTCAGCGTCCAATGAGCTGATTAGATTTTGGGCAGAGTCGGAACATCTGGGGGGGTACTTTATGGGTGGTCATTTTTATATTTTATGGAATATATCTGTTATTTACGTTTGGAGAAGAAAATTCTTCAAATAAAAGTTACTTCTAATATAATTATCTATAATTTTTGTTTTATGCAAAATTTTCCTAAAATGGTCCGTATTCGAGAAATTTGACAAAATGTAAAAAAAATAATTTTTTATAAAAATTGTTCAAATAAAAGTTGTTTGTAATATAATTCTCTTTAATTTTTACACTATACATAATTTCTCTAAAATGGACCGTATTCGAGATATTTGAGAAAATGTGTAAATTTCGAATTTTGAAGAAAACTCAAAAACGGATAAAGAAAAAAACATTAAATTTTAAACTTAAGGTTTATTTCGGCCTGACGTGAACTGATTAGATTTTGGACATAGTCGGAACATCTGGGGGGGTACTTTATAGGAGGCCACTTTTATATTTTATGGAATATATCTGTTATTAATGTTTGGAGAAAAAAATTGTTCAAATAAAAGTTACTTCTAATATTATTATTTATAATTTTTGTTTTATATAAAAATTTCCTGAAATGGTCCGTATTCGAGAAATTTGACAAAATGTGCAAAATTCTGATTTTTATGAAAGTTTTTGAAATAAAAGTTGTTTGCGATATCGATCTCTATAATTTTTGTTTATACATGATTTCTCTAAAACGGACCGTAATGAAAAAATTGTAGGAAATTTAAATTTTTCAGTATTTTCGTTTTCCATGAATATCTATAGAAAAATGTTTCGAGGTAGATGTATGTGGACAATGTATATATTTAGTTTATCCTCTAAACATTTATAGAGATGCTGCAATAGGTTGTACAAAATAACCGGAAAAAGCCTATAATAACTAGATAGGAAAGTCATGTGTTGGACACATCAGATTTTTTCTGTTCTAATTACGTTAACGGCCCTATTTCTATGCATTTTGCATTCATTCCAATTATTTTCTGTTTTTTCTTGTGAATAATTTTTATATGCAAGGTCTCTGTACCTTGTGGCAGCTTTTACATTTTCATTCCACCATTTTTTTTACTTATTATAATTTTTTTAATGTATTTTTATGTACCTACTCTTGATGGAAACCCTGTTTTCCTTAGTAAAGAATCTTATATCTGTATATCAACATGGATTCATGACTTCTCGTTCAACTGTTAGTAATCTGGCAGTTTTCAGTCAATATCTCTGTGAATCATTAGATAGTAGAGGACAGGTTGATGCAGTATATATCGATTTTTCTAAGGCCTTCGATAAAATCAGTCACAAAATAATTCTGCAAAAGCTTTCTAGTTTAGGTTTTGATATTACTTATGGACATCTTCTTAATTCATTTATTATAACTAAGCGTAAACAATATGTTTGCTATAATTGATTTAATTCTAATTACTTCAACTAGTGGAGTTCCTCAAGGGTCCAATTTAGGGCCACTATTGTTCTTAATATTCATTAACGATTTGTGTGACTTGCTTGAATGCAATAGGTTAATGTTTGCAAAATTATATACCAGTATCTCTAGTGCATCTGATTGTTTAACATTGCAAAATCAAATTAACCTATTGCAGGAATGGTGTCACAGAAATCGCCTCTTTTTAAATATTTCTAAATGTAAAATTGTGACTTATAGCTGCAAACATATTTCTCTGAATTTTCCTTATTCCATTAATATTATTTTGGAAAGAACAGACACTATTAAAGATTTGGGTGTTCACTTTGACTATCAAGTTACTTTTAACTCCAAATTAACTCTATTGTGAATTCAGCATACCATGCATATGGTTTTATAATCCAGAATTGTAAGAATTTCAATAGTCTCTTGGCATTAATTTCCCTATATTTTAGCTTAGTTAGAACAAAATTAGAATATTCATCAATAATATGGCATCCTATATACATTCATTATTCAGACATTATTGAGAAAATTCAAAAGAAATATTAAATGGATTTCATCCTCCAAGAGGTTGTAACTACCTAGATTTAATACATCAATTTGATTTTGTATCATTAGAAACACATAAACTGTTAAATGGTGAAATTGACTGGGCTTTGTTGCTGTCTCAAATAAATTTTTTGGTACCTATGATATCTAGACATAATATTACATTTCTAAGTAAATGAGCTCAAACTAATTTGTTGTCAAAAGCGCCAATTACCTTAATGTGTAGTAATGCAAACAAACTATCAGATATTTGTGATATTTTCTGTTGCAGTATATGTGAATTAAAAAACAAATTAAGAGCTTATCTTTGAATTCATATTAATTTTTTACTATTTTTTACTTTTATTATAATTTTTTATTTACTTATCTTACTTAGTTTAATTTTATATTGTTAAATTTGCCTTGTAAATGGGAAACTGTTGGGCAATAAATGCTTTTATTATTATTATTAATATTAAAAGATGGTTACAAAAACAATAAATTTAAATATTAAAAACAGGGTTTTCTTGGATAAATAGAAAAAAAAGAAAGTGAATGGTACCCATTTGAAATAAATATATTCCTAATACCTAGTTCAAAGTTATTATATTCTAAAATGATGGAATTTTGGAAAATGATATACTAGATGTAGATAATGAATTTATTATTAGTGATGAACAAAACAAATCTATTACAAATTTGACTAAACATAATCTCCTAAATTATTAGAGTAAAACAAATATTGAAATAAGATTAATCATTACAATATTATTCCTTATTTAAACGACATATTTCCGAATCTTTTTATAGGTATACACATTCTATACTTAATAAATGACCCAAAATAATACCTACGTACTTTTATTTTTAACTTTAATTGTTGGCGCTTTTAAAATTTTCAAATTTAGAATACTTATATACTATTTACGTAAAGAAAAAGTTTATCAAAAAGACCTTGCGGCAAATATAACTAAGTAGGTAGGATGTGAAGTTATTGAATAATATTTTTGTGGTTTGATATAACTAACATAAAAACACTTGTTTTTCTATATTTTTAATAACAATAAAACACCGCAAAGAGATATTTTGAAACTTCCTAATATTGAAAAAAATATCTATAACATTATTTAAATTCACATGCAACTTTAATACCCACATACATACATATATACGTGGATTTTCATTACAAGCTTTTTTGCATAAATTTCCTACTTACTTTTGATTCTTCATTCGATGGTATCAAGGTAACAACTCTTCCAGGATTCTCAGGAGTTCCCCTGTGATCTGTACTGAGTTGATAAAACCTTCTATCGAACCCTTTGATATATCCTAATATTTTTTCTTCATATGGAAAGTCGATTTTCCATATAAGAGAACCATACCCAAAAACCCACATATCGCTTAATATATAAAATTTATAACTACATTAATTTACAGAGTGATGTTTTAAAACTAATTATCTTAAGTATATTTTTCGATAAATGTCCGCATAATAATGAAAAATATACATTTTAAATTTCTTGCCACTACAGCACAGGAATATTGATACATGACGTCATGACAAACGCACAATATATCCCCTATAGTAGTGCATCTCACTTGTTAAAGAGTTGGCACTAAGTTTGCAGCGCAAGAATGCGTCTGTGTCTGGCCGCTCAACTAACTCGATATGGCGGTAAATTCAAATATAATTTAAAGGCGAAATTTAAATTTCCCGCCAAAATTGTAAATTTTCAGCCGCGGAATGGCGGGAATTTTTAAATATATTCATTCGGCAATAATTATTGAGAAGTATATTGCATGTTCGATTAAACGAGCTGTAAATCCAGGCGCTATTTTTATTTTGATAGCTAAAAATAATACTAATTCTTTTATTATTAGCTATTACAATAAGAGCAGCATTTGGATTAACAACACATTTAAAAGAACATGTAATATACTTTTCAATTTTACCTAAATCACTTATTTTTTACCTATAGAGGTTAGATCTGAAAAAAAATTGGCTCTGGTAAAAAAATCAAAAAATTGTATAAAGTATTTTATTTGAAAAATTATAAAACTTATTTAATATATTTTAAAGACGAAGATAACTCTAGCCATATCCATTTTACTGAAAAAAAAAAAAGAAACTATTAAATGAAATCATTTAGTTATTAAGAGATGTTTGTGATAATACAGTGGCAGCTATCGAATGTTGTACAATACGTTTTGCTAATGTCCAAGTAAAAACTACAAAGAGTTAGCATTAGTGGGAGAAGGAATAGAATACTATGAACGTAGCCAGCTGGCTACGTGGGGATGCATCACACCGTGTGCCTGTTCATATTACACAGCACACAAGGCAACATTCATATTATTCGTTTCCTGATCGAACTAATGCGCTAACTCTTTAGTTTTATTTTCGATTCTAGCCAAGCGTATTGGAAAGTGTTCATTAGCCGATACTGTATATAAATGCTAAAATCAATAAGTGAAATAAAAAAAATTAGTTTAGATGGACATCTACTTCAAAAAAAGTAAATTATTATACTTGAATTTTAAAGGCTGTTGCCACTGGAAAACTATTATCTAGGTCTTGGATGACAGCCATAGGACTCCCTCCTTGAATCGTGTCCATAGGAAAGCATAAGATCATAGTTAAATTATAATATTAAGAGGGTAGGTATTAACTGAAAAAATATGAAAAATTATTACAAACTTACCTCAAAATTGGCACCTACATTAAAAGAAGGGAAAACGGAAACATAAAATTGTTATACTTGAATTTTAAAGGCTTTTCCCACTGGAACAGTATTATCTAGGGCGCAGACCCTTGGATGACAGCCATAGATAGCAATCCCTCCTTGATTCCTCTTTTTCTAAGTTTGTTGTACGTTTTGTTTCCCATATTAAATAAGAAAGCACTTAATACAACAACAAATCACAATAAATATCGCTGAAACAAAATTAATATTAAATTTCGTAGAAGAAAAAATTATCACTTGTCAACACTGACATTTCACGCTTCACTTATAAAAACTCAACGCTAAAGAATGAAAGATGATTCGAAATAGGAATTATTAACTGGTATCTCTTTCTTTTATAAGTATCTAAACAAAGAGAAGGAGTGGGAGTGAGTAACGCTCCGATCAGATTGTTTTGAATTCGTCGTCAACCAATGAACGTGCTGATGTCAAAAATCAATAACGATACTAGCGCCATGAGACCTGTGTCTGGCCGCAGCGTAACTCAAAGCCATTTCTTGAATCCCAGTTACATTACTATAGGGGATATATTGTGGACAAACGTGCTAATCTCGTGACATATGACGTTTTGTTGCAAAAAAATGACGTTCCAAAGGTCGGGTAATGGCCAAGCTGCCGAATACGGAAGTACAAATTGAAGAGCGGTTTCCGAAGGACTTTCAAAACCATTTTGTTATAATTGTTATATTTTCCACCATATCCTAGTAATTACTTACTTAAAACATAAAGCTTTTTACACAATGCATTTTGAAAAGTTTTGAATTAATTATCAATATTTCACCTGTAAGGCGACAAGAATTGTTTTCGTGAAAATTACCTACTTATCCTATAAATATTCGAAGGAAGGTAACCAATATACATTATCATGATGTTTTTGCGATTTCTGTGATTCCGGAAAAGCTTTTACAACTGATTTTTATTATAATAAATGCATAACTTCCTTTGATGTAGATCGCTGTTGCCGGGAACTGGGACCAGTTCACGTTCGCAATAGTACAAAATTTAAATAATCGAAAAATGGCTAATAACGACAGAAGCAATTGCCAGTTTCAGTGGCATTGTACTGTTAGGAAAAGCTTATTTACTCACAGCAACAGCTAAAATTAAAAAAGGCTAACAGATTTGTTCAAATAACACATACCTATCCCATAGTCTTCCTAATGTAAAACGTTTTGGATATTCATTTCAATCCTTTTAATTATTAATAGAATGCTTTAGTTTGCTCTTGCGGCAATTTCTGATAGTCGCGAGTAGGTATCTACTTTTCTTGAATTTCATTACATGTAAATTTAAAACAAAAAATTATGAAATGGTGCATGTCTTTTGTCACATAAAGTTGCCGTTGTTTTTTGTTCCGTTGTTGGAACATTAGTCACATTTTCTTTATCAGAAAATGGTTATTTTTATTAAATAGGCATAGGTTCATTTTATATTAATTTTACATCAAATAGGACGAAACCACACCTGAAATGCAATAGCATTTTCAATTAAAATTCCCTGGCAAAGGTAAAGTCAAATTAGAACAGACATTCCCAATCGGCGGTCATCATAATTCACCGGACGTAGAGCCAAAAACTTTTAATTAAACAATCTTATATGTTTATTCGAATTAAGAGATATCACTGTTTAAGCAGATAAGATGTAAATAACCGAACGAAAACAAATATTTTATCAAATCTGGTAAGAAATCCTCTTTTAAACGAGTTGGTCAAAAAGTGAGGTTAACAATGACTCTGAGGGCTATAAAATACGATAACAATAATTTAGAGATTCTGGATCAACTTCTTTTGCCTGCACAGTCGAAGTATATTCAAGTAAAAGGCGTCGAGGATGGCTGGAAAGTTATAAATAAAATGCAGGTAAGATTTCACAACATTTTTTTCTAAATATAAGTTAGATAACATCGATGTAACAGATTTTGAATTGTTCTGCCAATATATCTAGGCAAACTAGGCAAAGCCTTTATAATTATTTACGAATATATTGAAAACAAAAATGAAACTTATTTTAAGAGTTCAAATTATTGTAGGTAAGGGGAGCCCCTGCCATAGCTATAGTTGGCTGTCTCAGCTTGGCTGTGGATTTGCGCACTGAAAAATACGATTCCAAGAAGCAGATGAGACAAGAAATTGAGGGAAAATTAAATTATTTGGTGTCATCCAGACCCACGGCTGTGAATATGAAAATAGCTGCTGAAGAATTAATCAACTTGGCCAATCAGCTTAGCAATGATGAAAAAGTGGATTTACAGACCATGAAATCAAAGTAAGACTTATCTCATATGCTTAAACATTAAAATAACATTTTTATTGATTTATAATCATCTTAAAAATCACTTATAAACTATTGACATAATATACCTACCTACTAAAAGAATGCAATGCCTATAAAACTAATAATTATTGTTTTAAATATAAATCTAATTAGAAAACATTATCTCTGCTGTGTAAATATTGCTAATTGCCATAGATTAAATGAGTAATTGGTGGCAATTAACTAAGGCCAGGTTTATTTATTGTACATTATATCCCAAAAACTGAAAGTCTTATTGGTCATTATAAATTAGTGAAGCAGAATTTTTGTGATGCAAATATAAATAAAATCTTTATTTTTACTTTGAAATTGTAGGAAATTCTGAAGTGTAAATATTTATAAACTGGATTTATTTGAAAATTTTGTTTAAAATACATTTTTTTTAACAGGAAGCTAAATGAAGATCACAAGACTAATCTTAAACTTTTTTGCAATTTGTTTTAAGGAATCAGTTTGAATTTTGTCTTAAGAATTACATTAATTGATTATTATCATCTTGAAAAGCCTGTTTCTTCATAATTAATCTGCTAAAAGAATTGGTGACATCAAGTTAGACAGTCTAGTTAAAATTATTTAAATTTTTGTCATAATGAGAAACTCAAATCAGCCACATAAAACTCTTTGATTGAACAGACTGGAAGGAATCAATAAGCTTATATACTCTGATAGAATTGCATATAAAACTTTTATCAGTTTGTGTCAGTTTGATGTGGTGGCAATAACAATTTTCTCTCGATTGAGAATTGTGCTCATGTGCATCTCCTACTAGAATAAGATTAGTTTTATTTGATTATACATACAATAGATAGTAGAGAGATGGAAGTGTCAATATTTTTTATTCTTTGAATAATGTTATTTTGTGTTATGAATATTTTTTGCCACTCTACAGAATTTCCCCTTGAAAAAGATCTATATAAGCTGTTCTACATACTTCATTATAGTGTACCATGATGATTTTTTAGATATAAATTTTTACATCTGCAACAGGTGTCCTTATAAAAACCATTCCCCGTTTCAACCAGACATTGACTGATGACAGCTGTGTGCTTGATCATCCACAACTCTGAGTTGAAAAGGGGCGTGGCTTACTCTACTATTTCAATACAATATTTTGACATGCTGGTTTTCTCAAGTACTACCATTAAAATGAATTCAATCCTAGTCAAATAACGAAATAAATAGTTTGTAGTACAATAATAGAAATTACATTTTAATTTCTAACAATCCATATCCGATGAACAAATTATATTTTAGTTTTTTAAAAACGATAGAAGACATGCTAGCAAAAGATATAGCCGACAACACGGCCATAGGGGATTACGGGGCCAAAAACATTTTATTGAGAATCTCTGGTGATAGCCCTGTTAGGATTTTAACCCACTGCAACACAGGGTCTCTAGCCACAGCAGGATATGGGACTGCACTCGGTGTGATAAGGACGCTGCACAGTATGAAGAGATTAGGTAATTTTAAGCACTAAAATGACTTTTTTTTTCAATCAAATGACCTCACACTAATCTTATGGCATTTGGGTGAGATTTTACTGAAATAGTTATGTTGTAGTTCCTGATTCTTCTATCTAACTTCTATCTCTCACCGTTTAGATTCTACAGTGTTAAAAATGCAGCTTCTGTATGTCATTGCAGGACTACAGCCCTCTAGGGCTATTGTGCTACTATTTGAAGGTCCTACTGCCACCTACTACCAGTCTCATGGGGCATGGTAAATGGTGGCACTTCCTAGCAGGTCATCCATCCAAGTTGTGATTGGAGAACTCACTGCTTAGCTGTTGTGAGAACATGGGCGCGATTGACTCTCCTCTAATCTTGTTCGGCATTTTCATCACTTGGTAGAATCTAAACAGTGACAGATATAAATTTGCAAAATAAAATGTTTTGGAACACCATTGTTCATACAATTGGTTCAGGGTCCTTTATAGACTGAGAGTCGGCTGTATGAAATAGAAGGAAGGAATTATTATAGGGTGAATTGAATAAAAAATAGTGGTTATTTGCCCCCTTCAAAATAACAACACACTTCGGTACAACTATTTTAAAATTATTGAAGCGGTATTTTATAGTAAAAAAATATATCCAAAATGAAAGAGGAGCATCAGTCATAGTTGAAAACATGTGGCTGAATAACCCCACATGTGCACAAGTATGACACAGTGCACTTAATCAGGCGATTATCTATTCTGTTCTTAAGAAATTTGTGTTAAATGAAAGCTAAAGGGCTCCTCTTAGGGTTGCCCTTGTTTGCATATGAAGAAATAATGGCTGAATTGGTTTTGTACTGTGATCTAGATTATTGCTTTTACAAGATAAGATACCTTAAAAGTTACTTTTTTAGTTTAAAACTAGAATGAAGATGTATAATGCTGTATAATTTTGATATCGCTTTTCGTTTTTGATTTATGATTATAAACACATTACATTATCTAATACTTCATCAATTAAATTTTTATAATCATCTAGTTTACTTTCTCTAGTTTCCCCCAATGCCATACTTATTTTTTTTTCGCTATTCATTCTGAAACAAACCATTTTGCATAAGCGTCACACATGAACTGAATTTAAATTAATCTAATTTATATTTTAATCATTAGAAATTATTTACAACTCATACTTTCGCGCCGTATAATTAAAAATCTTAAAAATTATGTCATAAATACGGAAAATGTCTTATACATTCTGACTAAAACTGCATAGCCTTATTGTACTTAAGCAGTTACATTTGAATTATAAAGTTTGCAGAAGTTTGATTGAAAACATATGATCGAATGGCCCGAATTAGCACATCAAATTGCCATGTAGGAATATCGACAGTCAATGTCGTCATGGTCTAGCGGTAAGGTAAATACAGGCTTTTTTTTTCAAATCTTAAGTATGTGCTTTCACCTTTGGAGTTCAGGGATGGTCTTAATAATGCGTAGGGGTTTTTTGAGATTTGTTTCCTAGTTTTCAAATTATTCTACAACTTATTTTAGATAATTCTAACCTTTTGGATTTCGATTTTCGATATTGTTACACATGTTTTTGATATCGCAATTTATTTCAGCTCAACTTTAACAACAATTATACAACTGATATCATTAACATGTAATGTCTATCATAAAAACTGAAAACTGACGTCAGAATCATCCTTATATAGCTTGCTTGACCCTTCCCGAACTGTCGTCTAGAATATTCGTGACGGGTAATGACATTTCTAGACATTTCTGGACTATTCTATCTTCTTTTACTTGTACTTTTTATATCTGTACGTTTCCTATAATAGCCGCAGGGTGCTGCATAACAATATATTAAATTCACAATTTTCGTATTCAGGTTTACGCCACTTAACGTACATTGAAAACTTAACCCACGCAGACGAAATATGTGCTCAGTATGCATCAATGCATTTCTCATATACAGTACTTATTATTTTGTATTAGGAATAGTCGTTCTTTCACAAAGTTTCATAACAATATTTTATTTATTTAAGATGGTTACGCGACTTGTTAAAGCACGCCCCCGCTCCGTCTGGGATCGGACCAATGATTTTGCTGTATGTTATATGATGTGATATCAATTGATGTAACCGTTTACACCTGCAATTTGGTATGACTGTGTTTCAAATAATACTTTGTTGTTAAGGGCTCGGGTTTGCACAGAGGCGTATTCGATATTTATTTACGGTTAGAAATATGTATGTCAGGTGTTTAATAATTATTTTACAATGCATTTTTTCAATTCAGCCTATAATAATCCGCCATTCCATTTTATACGGTCGGCTCTAGTACTACTTATATAAATATATTTAATTTTAGAGCACGTTTATTGCACTGAAACGAGGCCCTACAATCAGGGTGCCAGACTGACAGCTTACGAACTGGTCCATGATAAAATACCAGCAACTCTGATCGTTGACAGTATGGTAGCAGCTGTAATGAAACATAGGAATATCAACGCCGTTGTTGTTGGTGCTGACAGGGTAAAATAATGTTTTTAATAACAGTTTTTTCTTCATATAAAGTTCTTACAATAAAAATTAAAAATGTGCGGTTTTATTGTCTTTAGGTAGCAGCGAACGGCGACACGGCCAACAAAATAGGTACCTATCAAATAGCGGTGCTCGCCAATTACCACGGAGTGCCTTTCTACATCGCGGCCCCTTTCACTTCCATAGACATGTCCATCCAAAGCGGCGATCATATCGTGATAGAGGAACGGCCTGACAGAGAGATGACGCATGTTGGTGAACATAGAATAGCTGCGAAAGGTAAACAATCGATTTGCATATGTATGTATAATCCAATTAATTAATTATTCTTATGTTCAAGTTTTTTTTCAATCACCAATCGTTATTTTCAGGTATATCTTGTTGGAATCCCGCTTTCGACGTAACTCCCGCTTCATTGATAGCGGGAATAATTACGGAAAAAGGCGTCTTCCGGCCGGAACAGCTAAAAGAACAATTCGCTCTACTTAATCATTAACAAAATTAAATTATGTCACCCTGTTAAAGCACCAACAGGCATTCTTTCACGTACGGCGCCCAACACTATCATCCAAAATGCATTGTCGGGGACCTTTCAATTGTTATTAAAGCATTGTCGGCTGTCTTTCAATTGTCAATAAAGCATTGTCAACTGTCACTAACTAATCCATTATCAACTGTCAGTTGTCCACTTAATTTCAAGCTTTAGGATATACGTTGGTATTGGAATGGAACAGGAGTTTTTTTTTTAAATTAATATCGACTCATTTCCAATCATGAAGTTTTTTCGAGTTCTGTGTTGTTCCAATCAGAGTTAGACATCTTTAAGGAGCCTATATGTCTCGGAACCTACGCTTTATGGCTCCTCTAAAAAATGGCATGTTTTATTTTTATTGTTAAAATCCAGATGTTAATTTATTTTTATTAAAGAGTTTTCGTTTTTCATATCTTTTATATTCCGTTGTAGGTACTTTTGATGTGTTTGAAATAAAACTGCTACCACCATTTGCATTTTATGTCTATGCTGAAACATGATTTTGAAAATTTTATGTACAATTATTTCAAATCAAAAACTATGGGTACGTTTAACTTTCAATAAACAGAAAAATACTATAAATATTATGAAAATGTTTCAAGGCAACACTAAGTTAAAAATTTGTGACACAGCTGAGCTGAGTCTTTGTGCTCTAGATGGGAGAAAAGATCCTTAAGAATTTTAAGGTTTTGGTTTAAATGCTATCAAATACTGCTGATAAAAATATCTATATAAACACTATGCCAATTCTTTGAGGGAATTTTGGAACAAAAAGGAAAGTGTTAATTATGCTGCAATAGGACAAAAAACAATTACTTAACAAACATGAAATATGCTTGCCTGCAAACACGATTATTATCAGAGCAGTCTTTCTGTGTATTTTAATTTTGCTTAAGGCACATGCAGATTATATACCTGTCAGTTTTCTTTATTCATCCGTCATTTGTCGTAAGTCACTTGTCAACAGTTGCTTTTACTTATGGTTTGTTGACAAATGCACAGAATGGCAAAAATTTAATTGGCAATAGTTTTGTCATACAACTATAACGAGTGGTAGAATGCCTGCTTGCTATTATTATCATCTATATTACCTACTACCTTTCGGGATAGATCTTTCTTTTTTTTTGTATTCACGTTTTTAAATTGTATGTTAATTATTCAAATAATGTAACACTTATACCTGGATGTGTATATTTTCGGGAAATCCTACAAGAATGCTTGATTATTATAAGGTTATAATGAATAAATGTTTTTTTTTATTGATTGGTGTTTTATTTCCAAATATATGTTATAGGGTGGGTATGTATCGATAAAAAAATATGAGAAACTGTTCTAATGTGGTCAACTTATGCAATGTGTTAACCAACTCACCCAGCAGAATAAAGGTGAGGCAATTATATTTAGACGTGAGTGAAAAAAAGAGCAACTCTAAGGGCAAACAAAATTAGCGCTGTCATGCTTTATGTGATTTTTTTTTAATACAAAATAATTTTTTTTAACCACTTTGCTCAGGATTGGGATTGGCACAGGTGCCATTTGGTAAAGTAGAATGTTTTTACATGCTTTTTGGGGTATATTTCATTTCGTTATCAGATGACGGTAAAAATTTGCAGTGTACTCTTGGGCTATTATGGTTGAATTCTGTATGAGCCAGGGATACACATCTGATTCTTTAGCTGTAAACTGTGTCACAGGGATCAAAATGGTCGCGCCCTATATTGGGCGTGTCGGACCTCTCTCTTGCCTCGTATAGTAATCAAAGTATGTGCTCAAAATTATGTTATCTGTCAAAGTCAGTCCAAGTTGTGTTTAGTACGTGAGTATGAAGACTAGATATAAGGAGGCGAATCGGCCTTGGTCAAATTTCCGTCCCTATTTTTTTGGAGTTTCAAAAAACGACTGTAGTTGGCGGGTGGCAAAATAGCGACGTCTATTTTCTATGCAAGTCAATGGGAATTAAAGTGATTTTTGTAAAATTTAGTGAAAAGAATAAAAATAAGCTGAAATAAAGAACCTGACTAACAATTAGTAACAAAAAACGACAAAGCAAGATTTGTTTCGTTGCGGGATGCAAAACGGGATATAAATCCGATATAAAATTAAGGAAATCACAAGGAGATAAAAATCCAAGTCTTTTTAAAGCTCCTAGTGTAAGTAAAATAATGTATTTATTTCCAAATGATATATATTTATTGTAAAATAATCACAACCCGTATCTTACGGAGTGTAGTTTATTTAATTACAAAATTCTATAATAAAAAATAATAAAGTCATAAATCCTGACTAACAAACAACAATAATTACAAATTAAATTTAATTTACTAGAAAAGAAAATTTGCTTTTTTTATGTTTTCTGATGTTAGATGAAGAGTTACTACTATTATTTTTTTTTATTGAACTCCAATTTAGTCATTATATTTTTTATAGGATCCTAAACGTTTAGAACAATGGCAGCATGTGATTCCTAAGGCTGATAAAGTACTGTCTAGTTATGATTCTGTTTGCGAGCTACACTTTTTAGAAGATGATATTTTAAAATGTGATGAGAATATTTTAACTAATGGTACTGTTAACAAAATAAAAAGGGAAAGGCCGAGATTAAAGAACGAAGCAATACCATGTATATTCCGGAATCTCCCTTCATACTTGTCCAGTATTAGGAAAAGACGAAAACCACCTAATTTAAAAGATCATGACTACAATATTACAAAAACCTCTCCAGTTATTTTATCTTACGTTTCTGGATACATTGCAAGAAAAGCTACCAGATTTACAAAATGTGAAACTTGCATTCGACAATTAAAAAGTATTGAGCCTCAGTCTAAAAATCAATTAATTACGTTAATAAGTAAAGGGTTTTTAATATACTCTTCTCATTCTCTAATTTCTTTAATATAAATGCTGGAATCGACTGTCTTAGAGGTTTTATCAAGAAACCCAGTTCACCAAGAAACTCTTTTTGAAATCTTGAATAAAATTGAAGAAATGGGCATTTTATTTGTAGGGTGTGATGAACACAAAGAAAATATTACATCTGCAATAATTCGCTTTTACCTAATCAGAAGAATGCATTTTATTTGTAAACAAATTAATAAAATTGATGAAGCTGAAAAAGAAAAAGTAAGTGTCTACGAAAGCAATCAAAATTGTAAATATGTATTGTAATTTAGATTTAGAAATTATGAAAATGAAAAAATCCTAACTCCCCTACGAAATTATTACACACTCATATCTCCAAAGTGACAACAGACTAAAAATTGAAAAAGCTGAGAAAAAAAGAACGAACAAATGCCTGCACGACCGGATCTTTTCAATTTTTCTTTAATTTCTTTTCACTTTGGGGATATAAGAAAGTAATTTTCATAATTTTGTAAGGGGGATTAGACATTTTTCATTAATTATGTTATTTAAGCGTTTTGCCACTTTTAAGAACAAATTAAATGCCACCATTGTTAGTTGTCGAATACAAAATTACTACAAAACTGTACTTACCAAATTTCACCATTTTGGTCATACCTAATTTTCATTTTATTTAGATAAAATTAAATAATGAATAGTAAATAATGTATTTTCTATACTTTTAAAACAGAAGACTTATTTACAATAATTAAAATCAACAGTATTTTCTGTGCTTTAGTTAGCAATAAACAATTTTATTTTTATTATTTTCATAAAATTTTGTAAAATCCTTAACTAAATATTTTCATTTAAACGTGTCTTAGTATGCTCTCAGCCCTATTTAGCTTTAATTAAAAAATAATTAGTCCTACCCATCAAATTTCAACACTTATCATCAATAATTTGCATTTTACTTAAATAGGAATAAATAGTAAATAATGTATCAATTAAAATATGTAAGACTTATTTAGAAATAAATACAACAGTATGTTCTGTGCTTTATTTAGCTATGAACAAGTTTATTTTTATTATTTTGACAAAATTATCTATAATTCCCATAAGAAGCCATGTATTTTGAACTACGTAAACAGTACCAGCGCCCATATGTGGTTAATTATAAAAGCTCAATTGACGTGTAATTTTTGGGACCGTATTTTAAGTATGCCGATTCGCCTCCTTATCTCTAGTCTTCATATACGTGAGCAATGTTAAGTGATATTTTTTGGTATTTGTTTTGTGTAGTAATAAGATGAAGATTTTTACACACTTAGGTATTCTAATACAGACATAAAATGTGCCCAAAAAGTTATTAGGAAACTAAGAATTTTATCACATGCATAAATATTATGTATAATGATTTAATCATTTTTGACATTTTATTTTTCATATGTAGGTATTTTATTTGGGAAATAATAGTTTTTCTTCTTTTCAATAAATTTAATAAACAATGAACTGCAGATTTTGTTTATTTTATTTTGAAATTATATTTAAAAAAATATAATAAATTCGCGTGTTTCAATTAGGATTGGTCAAAGTGTGAGAAATCCCTTTATTATGGCTAAATTGTAAGTTAAAATGATGTCAATATAAAGATGTTTTGCCCATTCACATTTACATTTATTGAATGAATCCTACGTTGATTTTGGAAATATTGGTGCATACTTAAATAAGTAATAAATAATAAATAATTTCTAAAAATTCGTTTATGCACACATAGTCCAATGGACGTCCACTTTAGATCTATTTGAGGGTCAGGACGTCCATATCCGGGCATCCAGTGTACGTCCGTTTATGCTAATTAAATTGACAGCTGAATATCGATACCCAGAGAACGTCTGTTTTTGAACTTAATTTTAAGTTTAGTAGTATTTTGACGTCCAGTGGACGTCCATCTTAGGTCATTATTTATTAAGCCTACCAGATAATACCCATTTATATATACTTCTTTTTTTTAATATAACTGGTCATTAAAAATTGACAAATTGAATCTATTGCATTTCATTCTATCAGCGGAAGTTTAAAATCTTATTCAATTATAACTGTATGTATCTAGTAAAAAGTTTTCA